ATGTTGAGACAGAGCGTCCGAGTGTGGCTTATGGATTGACTTTTGCGCAGCCGGCTTCGCAGGATTCAGCCCAGCCGACGGATAATGATCGTCCGATGAAGGATGTTACTGGGCCTGCTGCTACTCCTGCTGCTGAGGAAGAACGCAAGCCACTTACCCAGGATGAGATTGCTCTGCAGGCGCTTATTCGGGAGACGAAGGGTGAGCCGGAGCGCAGGTCGGATCTTGTTATTGAGTCGGTTAATTGGGATGACGATGATCGGGCCGGAGGACGGTATGATGAGACCTCTTCGTTTCGAGCGGATGTTGCGGCGCGCCCGGAATCTGCGAGCTTGGATCAGTATAACGCAATCCCGGTTGAGGAGTTTGGCGCTGCGCTACTTCGTGGTATGGGGTGGAAGGAGGGTCAAGCTGTAGGAAGAGGAAAATACGGTGGTTCTGCAAACCAGGACAATAAGCCGCGGGTCCCGGAGCGCCGTCCCGGGTTCCTGGGGATCGGAGCGAAAGATGTGTCTGGTGGGAAGGGTGCAGAGGCCGAGCTCGGCGCATGGGGCAAGGCTGCCATGCGGAAAGGCTCTAGGAAGGGAGGGAAGGAGGGCGAGTCCAACCCGGAGGGTGTATATATGCCCATTATGATGCGGAACAAGCAAACGGGCGAGTTCATAACAGAGGAGGAACTTGCTGCGCAACGGAAGGATGTCAAGAAACGGGGCGATGAGGATGAATGGAAGCAACGACGCGATCGCAATTTGGAGAAGAGTGGCCGTGATAGGGATCGCGATCGTGACTCCCGGCGTCGCGACTACGATGATGATGACAGTGATCGCTATGACAGACGCAGGACGGGATCTTCAAGGAGAGACCGGAGTTTGTCATCCAGTGACCGGCATTCAAGACGGCGCAAATACGAAGATGAAGACAGTGACAGTCGAGATGACCGCTACTACCGGGACAGGGACCGGGACCGGGATCGTGACTATCGCCGGGATCGCGATCGAAATGGGGACCGGGAACGAGAGCGTGACAGGGACAGAGATCGGGATCGAGACCGCAGCAGACGGTATCGAGATGATGATCGCCATAGTAGCTCGAGGCACTCTTCCTCGCATACATCGAGCAGACATCGTGACCGTGATAGGGAGCGAGACAGTGATCGCGACTCCCGCCGGAGAAGGAGAGACGATGATCGATGATTTGAGGAAGACCTTTCAGTTTCATAGACATATTCAAAACCGCATATACTACTTATGATTTTGATACCATTTTTGTATGACTAAGGGCGTGTGGAAGGACTATCGATAGTGACACTATTAACGCTGACGTTTCAAGACCGACAGCAGATCTCATAGCCATGTAAAATACTACTTGCCTCAACAGCCTCTAATTCAGAACAGGTAGTATCATCTGGAAAAAGAAAGAACTTTTTATATGCTGGTCTCCTAACAAAAACAGAACAAGTACTCCCACTGAAAGCGCCAACATACACACGGTATTTGCAAAGATCATGCAGATTAACTTGGGTCTATTTGTACATAGTCTCATTCAAAAGTCTTATTTCTATCCACACTTGGGTTCTCCTATACCCCCAGCATGACCACGTCTTTTTCATGCTCTGGGACACTGTCTTCAGGGAGACTGCTGTAAGGGTCGTACGGGGTAGAAACGCCTAGGCCCCCGAGTCCCACACCACCGTCCATCTCTGCAAGAACCCATTCCACGAGGTAGCTTTCGTCGGAAAGTTCTTCGACACGGCGGTAATGCCGGTCAGTATACGAGGCCAGCGCTTGCAGGATATCCTTCATGCCTGCTGAAGTGCGACCTTCGCGGCGACGCTTCGCCATGCTTGAGGTGGCAAGCTCGACAAATGTTGAAGCTGGGTAGGAGCGGAACAAAGCGAACAGGATCCGCTGAGCGACTCTGGATGTTCGGGCGTTCGTGTTCCAGTCACGAAGTCTGAGAAGGAGTGTACAGAGGTTTTCCGGGTCAAGAGTTTGAAGAACCTCGTCGATCGAGGGGTTGCCAGTTAGGCTGTTGGCACGCTCGCTGGCTTCGGAATCGGTCGCTGTTGGGTCCTCTGCAGCATCTATCGCAGAAGTGAACAGGGACAGTAGCCGGGCTGGGTGATTGAGCTGAAGTGCAAGTGTGATGGCTTCGCGATAAGCCCCGGCGCGAATGTAGTTCTGAAGCTGTTGATCTTGCTCAATACGAGCTGAGTTGGCGTTTACTGTAGCGGTGTAAGTGGCCGAAGTCGTGTCTGTCCAGAAGGTAACAGTTGAGTCGGCAGAACCAGAGGCAAGGCCGTAGGGAGAGGTTTGTGAGAGGGTAGATGAGGACAGAACGTCGTCACGGCAGCCAGATGGCGTCGGGCTGGCCAGAGCCCAGACACGGTCTTCATGGTTGTCAAGAGTCGTCTCGACCTCTCCGCTGTAAGGGGACCAAATCTTCACCAAGCCATCTGCGGCCGCAGACGCAACCAGAGGTTTCGCCTGCGCAACTGCATTATGTGTCATTGCTTCGTCTTCATCCTCCTCCTTGGTAGACAAGTCCGAAGGTGGCAGCCAGATCACCTTGAGCACACTGTTCGTGTGACCTTCGAAAGTGAGAAGACAGCTGTAGTCCGACAAGCTCCAGATCTTGATAGTCTTGTCTCCCGATCCAGTAGCAATCATGCCTCGGTTTGTGCTCGTTCCCGTGTCGGAGGTGAGGATAGGGGTACCACGAGGAGCGAATCGTGCTGACCATACTCCCCTCTTATGTCCCCGCAGGACACCCACAACGGAGCCATCCTCGATGGACCAAATCTTCACAGTACGGTCCTGGGACGCGGATGCGAACAATGTCGATGTCGGGTTAATATCCAGAGCATTGATATCCTTTTCATGGGCTTTGCGTGTGTACACGGCCTTGGGGTTGTGAGGTTTGGAAGACTTAAGAGGAGCCAATTTACCCGTGTCCCATCGTTTGATAGTACGATCTTGAGATCCTGTGAGCAGGAAAGCAGGGGGATGGTTCAAGGGGTCGTTGTGAGCAGGGGTGTTGACTGGCGGAGGAGCTCGAGGGAAACTGATGGCACCGAGCGACTCTGCATGTCCAGTGAGGACAGCAAAGCAGGTGTAAGAGGAATTCTTGGGGTCAAGCCGCCAAAGACGTGCAGTATTATCCTTTGCGCCGGTAACAAGCCAATGACCTGACCAGTCAACGTCGATACAAATAATGATGTCGTCGTGACCTTCCAAGTGTGTGACATCGGCACCAAAGTAGTCACCCTCTCCGGTAGCTGGCCTATCCTCGGACGGTCCAATTGAAACCACCCTTATGCTTTCGGTGTTGGTAGCTAACGCAAGCATCGACCGATCGGGACCGACATATGCAAGATCGATAATATCATCATCGTTGCCGGAGATGCGCCTAATAACCGGCAGCGGCTCGAACGTAGACCCAGCTTTGTAGTCGGCGAGTGGCTGAAGCGAGTGCAGTCGAATGGTTTGGTCAGCATGCACAGTCATTGCGAATGACATGCCCGCGGAATACTGAATCGCCACTACGGCCTCGAACTCGGCTGCAGCTTCTTGCTCGTGAGTAACCTCTCCTCCGCGGTTGCAGTCCCAAACACGCAAACGGCCGTTCTCTCCTCCCACCAAGCACAATCCGCTGTCAGCGACGAAGCAAGCTGCTTCCACGCTCTCAAGAACGGGGATAACACGGCGCGTCTTGAAAGTCCGCACATCCCACACAATGACAGTCTTGTCGCGGCCTGCAGAGAGCAGCGCATTCTCTGCGGGTGAGTACGAAAGACTCCGGACAACAGAGACGTGCGATTCCAACGATGCGATGGGCTTCCTCCTATTCAAATCCCAGACGCGGACCATACCTTCCTCGTCACCTGAAGCGAGTCGGAAAGCGCCGATCGAATCGGCTACTTCATCCATGTCCTCATCCTCATCAAAGTCAAGGTTCTTGCCCTTGGACCCCTTCTTCTTCTTCTTTGATGATGCCTTGTCGTTGTCCTGGTAAGGTACTTGAAAGAAACACAGCGCCGAGATAACACCACCATGACCGTGGAAAGTATGCGTGATGTATCCACCCCGAATATCCCAAACCTTGATAGAACCATCCGCAGCGCCAGTTGCTAGGAGAGTACCCGTGGGATCGATCGCTGTGGTGACGACAGGAGCTGTGTGAGGTTTCAAGGTTCTAGCTAGTTTGGCCTCGACGGTTTGTGTGTTTTCATCAAAAGGAGTCAGAGAGTAGATGCGCATGGACATCGAGCGCGAGCAGAGAACGACGTGCGAAGCCGATGGAGAAACTAAGCGCAGTCAGTACATACCTCTTAGCTAGCGTAGGAAAGGGAAGTAAGAGAGAGGAAGAGTTGCATACTGGCCAAGCTAGTGATTATTTCGCCATCCTAGAACATCCGGGTTAGCTATTTGCGACTTCTGAATGCATGAGAGAAGCTTACGCCTTCAAGGCTGGCAACTTGGTCGCCGGTCTCAAGGTCGACGACGAGAGCATCCTCGCCAATGCAAGTCGCCAATAGACGACCACTAGCATCCAGCGCAGTGCTTCCTCCGGTGTAGATGGGACGAAGAGTTCGAGACGCCTCGAAGGTCGTCTTAACCACGGCTTTGGACATGATGGGGGAATTTTCTCAACAACCAGAAGTCTAGAAATCTACCGCGCCATCATATGACAGAACAAATCCGCGCCTTCAAAGAAAATGGCAGTTGCGTACCGCCGTCCGAGTCGCCGTCGCACCGAAACTTTTGGGTCTTTTTTCGAGATGTTTGCTTTGTTTGACGAGCTGGTGGAACCCCGCTAGCTCGTGATCTAGCCGCTTCAGACGCCGGAGCCGCTTACATGACTGACACTTACCATTTGGGGCAGGACTACCATCGATCTCACAATCCATCGAGTTGCTTTTGCTGGTCTCGGATATCTTCATCAAGCAGAAATGCCCCCTGCGGTTACTTTTCGATGAACGTTGTTGACATGCTCACGCGATGGGGCGGCGAGCATATCTCAATCGGCTGGCTCTGGTAGGCTCATGTCTCTTTTCTTGTATATGCTCAGCTGCGAGTGGGGACACATCTGATGTAGTTTGTTGTCTGCGCGACAGTCTGTTCCTGAAGTAATATGCAATCAACGTGAATGAGATCCCCCTTCTAGGCATATCTGCAGGTCTCGTCTTCATACCCACCTGTGTCCTCATCTTAAAACGGGCTGTCATGCCTCTACCCTCTCGCCTTCATTTTACGCGTTGCCATCTATTGTAATGACTGAATAATTAACAGTTATCTAGGGCCGGTCTCCTTACGAAGCTCCTGAGCGCCCTGCGAGTTCTGCGGTGAACCCAGGAAATGTCACACAGCGGACAGTATCAGGCTTACATGCGGACGGATACGTCCAGCATTATGATGAAAGAGGCCATCCAATCAACCCCCAATCTAAGTCCTTTGGCAGGGAACTCCGTAGGGCCAAGAATGACATCCTTTCCACAATGGGGATTGTTGTCAGCGAAGATGGTAATGTTAGTGGCCCAAGCGAACAGCAGAAGCTCGATATCATAGCTGCGGAAAACGACTATGGGTTGGTTATGGCCACTCTGGACCAAGTCTCAATCTTCCTTGGTTCTTGGTGGACCTCTTCTCTTCTGGGTCGGGTACAGGTGAGAGCCCTATATGCAGTCATGGAATCTATAGCAATGGGACAATGGGCTAACCATATACCTCAGACCTTCAAGAGCTATACGCGGCTGCCCCTGTTGAGCATAGTCCGTCTTGAGCGCTCTGCCTACGGAATATGGGGCTTCTATTTTGCCGGGATCCCAGCATGGGCTGTATCTACATGCATATCCTTTTGTCGACATCACCCCTTGGAACGTTTAATTGCTTTCTTGCAGAATTTGTTCCCGGAAGATGACGTGGGCTCGAGACTTATACGGGCATTGTTGAATGTCGTATATTCAGCGTAAGAATCCCAGACCAACCTTTTCACCATCTTCTAACATCATGTATAGGGGAAGAGGAACCATGCTGGTCCTGGCGATACAGACGTACATGTATTCCCTCTTACAATCCCTTCACATCGTTCCTGCTCACTCTATGCCCGGGATACGCTTCTTTCTGCCCTTTGGAGAGCTAGCTTCAATGCAGCTACCCAATTTACCCACAGACCTGTCTATCGAGTCTCTTAGCGGATTCCTACTGGGCCTTCTAAAAACCCCGTCTTTACTCGTGTACCTATCGGTATGTCTACGCCCAGTAATCGAGGTAAGGCTTTATAGATTTATTCGGCGAAGACTGCCCAAGCCTATCTACGCGGACGAACTCTCTGTGAAAGTGGCGTACGACAATGATCTTATCGACTGGATGATGCCAGCTCTCGGACGTCGATCAGAGGAAGAGAACCGTCGCAGTAATCTCTCCTTCACGGAAGACTTGATGTATGAGCTAGGCTTCTTTCGATCATGGGTGCTATCCTGGTTTGGCCTCAAATCACTGCGCACGGCACGAGCGTCGGAGCAAGCAGCAGACGCTCGTCGTAGACGAGAGTGGCTGGAGTCCCTTCCTCAAAGCATAGAGCAGTTGCAGCATGAGCGGCAATCCAGAACCCGTCGACCACGAAGACGGTCATCCGAGTCCCCGTTTACAAATGGGCATATCCATCATGACCCAACACGTTCTGATACTCCAAATCGAGGCTCGATCGATCAAACAGCTGATTTAGGAGCTGGCTTCGGTGGTAACCAAGTCCTTGCCAATGAGGAAAACCGTATGTCTCAGTCGCCAACTGAAATGAGTAGTGGCGACCTCGCGGAAATGGCTCCTTTACGGAGGGCAGGGACATTACCTCCACCAGACGACAACTCGCCAGCTCTACCAAACGGAGAGTCACGGCGTGGTGATGCAGGCGAGAATAACCGGAACTCGCGGTCAAATACGCTTTTCTCCCGTCCATCATCACCTGCGACCTCTTCTCCAGCTTCACCCCGGGTCCGGGCTTCTCTTATCCATCAAAATTCCGATGTCATCACAATGCAGCTGGAGCTTTTGGGAAACCGCCGCCCTCAGAACCAAGGACAGGCAACTGCACGACCTCAAAATGAAGCCTCTCAACTCCCATCCAATGGCGAGGTGGTAGACGGGCAAACGATTTCTGAATTCCTTGATAGCCTTTTGTCCAACCAGGGCAGGAATTTAACCACGGTTGTTAATTCGGATAATATGGATAGTGATGGGCTCTCCAATATGACCACGAGCGCATCGCCTATGCCTATCAGTGACAACCTTGGCTCGGCCTCTCCGAGTAACATTCAAAGTCTCGAGCCACAACGGCCACCTGCTGAAGCTCCTACGTCAAATCCGGTGAATATCCTGCCTGAGAGCATAGAGGAACCATCACCTGGTGACACACTTCATCAATCACCCGAAGCAGAGCGAGCCCATGAGAATGACTTTGATTCCGAGATATTTCCCCGAATTTCCGACCCTAATATTCGTCAAAATATGGTACCTAGTGGAACCGCCACTGCAAATCGGGTGACCATTCTCTCCTCTCACCCTGTCGACTCGTTAGCATCGCATCTAGCGTCTATACTAACAAACGTTATGTTCATACCCCTCGAATCCCTCTACCTGCGGTCCCTTGCTGCGTCATATCTGCGGTCTACTCACGCTCCTACCGCTCTCCGAGCTGATGTCCGAGGGTTAGGAGATTGGAGTTTGACACCACGATCAGACATGTTGTCATACCTTGGAAAGATCGCCCTCATAACTGGAATACAAGCTGCCGTGAATGCCACTGTCTGGGGTGTCATATCTGGTGCCGCCATCAAGATCGGAAGAAGGTTTTGCGGCTGGGGAACCCTATGAAGATTGTAATCTTTCTGCCGGCTATAAAATCCTGATATGGCCTTTTAGCCACATTACTTTCATTTGACAGAGTGGCTCTTTGCAGCCGCCGTCGCTTTTCTCTTCATTGCACATATTACTGGACATAATGGACACCGTCACTTAATCCTTCTCGTATCATATTATTACTTTATAGCCCCTAGTGACCGAGTAACCTTAACAGAATCACTTAGTATGAGCTATGGTTGCAAGACCAAAAATAACTCGGGAGAAATATTGATTCTATCATCGTCGTAAATTCTTAATTATACAGTAGCCCCTCCTTTGCGAGGCCTACGATCGGGGCCATTCAACAAGGAATATTTGACAAGACTTCACATCCAAAGACATCCCGGTATCACTTAGCCGGGTTCTTCCCTTTGCGATTCGGCATGCCAGGGACCTTCCGACGCTCCCATACCATCAAGTACCCTTCCTTCGTGAACAGAGTCTCGGTTTCGGCCCGCTTCACAAACAGATCCTGGATCTCCAGCCACTCAGGTCCACGCTGCTCGCCAGCATGTTCTTTCTGAAGCCGACTATTCTCCGCAGACATAGCTTTATCATGCAACTGAACAAGCCAGGAGACTTTCTCGCTTCCTGCACCTGCCCCTGACGAGGCTTTTCCACTAGCTGCATTGACTCCTTTGTCTGCTGCGGCTTCCTCGTGGGCACCTGGGGCAGCGACAGTAGGGTCGAGAATGATGTTTGCGACGAGGTCGTAGAGGATCGGTTCGCCTGGCGGCCAGATCTCTGGGTTCGGCTCAACATATGGCGACATGTCTAATGAGCGAGGGGACGGGAAGGTCACGATTGTGGGGTTTCGTTCGGAGACGAAGCGGTTCTTGCTGAAGCGCTTGATGTGGAATAGGAGGTAGGGAGGAAGGGGGTGGAGGAGCCTGTGCCGGACTCGGTGGGCGAGTTTTTCGGAGGCGGTGATTCCATTGTATTTGTTCAGGAGGGTGGTCAGAGGGACTTGCGGGATGATAGATTCCCGGTTGGCGGATTGGAAGAGAGGCGTGGGTGGTAGATCTAAGGTGAGGATGAGGAAGGGTGTCGTTTGGCTGTTGATGGAGCCGGATTCGGTGAACACTAAACGTGCGTTTTGGGTATCTGAGTGGGCTGTGATAGCCTGGCTTTCGATCCTCAAGTGACCCTGGAATGCGGCTTGGACAACGCTTGTAGGGGTCTTGGATGGTTTCTTGGAACCTCCGAGAGAAAGGTGAAGGTTGTTCAAGAACCAGGACATGAAGTCCACCGGGTCGGACTGCTGTGTGAGGGTAAAGCGCTTCGATGAGCGGAGAGCGATCTCCTGCAACAGTTCGTGTGGAGATACATGTGAGCGGAATGCTTTGGGGTTCCATAGTTTTCGGACTAGAGTACTGAAGCGGAGGGCTAATTGAGGCGTTCCTGGTTGAGGGAATTCGTGCAGCAGGAAGTAATTGCGGATGGGGAAGACGTGAGCTAAGAGCTGGACCACCACGTTCAGATAATCGTTGGCTTTGATATTATTCATACCAACAAAACCTGGGATTCTTAGCACATTGCACTTAGCAACATAAACGACCTGGGTGTCTTACCAGGCCTATAACGATTTCCTGCTAGGTCGAATGCGTCATGAACCTCCTTGTCCAGCTTCATCACTTCATCCTTATTATAGTACGGGTCCACCACGTATTTGATATCATCCAAGCTCTGGTTCTTGACCTCATATCCTTCCGGGAGAACGTAGACCTTTTTGGTACCCATATTGACGAAAACATGGTGTCCGACCTCAAGCGCATGGAAATAAGCATGCGACTTCGGTCCTCTGCCCTGGAAATATTTGCCGCACACAAGACAAGCGTAGACATTGATGTTCGACAAGCTGACTGAGCATAGCTTTTCAAAATCGAAGTCGAGGATCTCACGATTGATCGTATCTAGGTACAGGTCGCTGTAGCCCTCCATGGGGGCGCTCTGACGTTTCGGGGCCGCGATAACCGGTTTGTCGTCATCAGCATCAACATCGGACAATTCGGGGCCTCCATCTTGCGCTGCTTCCGCTAGCTCTTCGCCTTCCTGGTCGGCAGCCGCAAGTATATTCTGTCCGCTGCGCTCATGTTCTTCAAGCTCCTGTCCAGTCGCCCGGCGAATCGGCAAAGCTCCACGGCGCGGATCGTTTTCCGACAGCTCTTCATCCTCCACACGCGCTTTCTTCGAGGCAGGGGAGCCTGCTGCAAGCTCTTCCTCGAGCGACAGCTCAGCTTGTCTCTTCGACATCATGACTGGGTAGAATGGCGAGGTTTGTGAGGGAAGCTGCTGGGGTTGCGGGATTCAAACTGCGAAGGACGCGATGCAAACCGCCGGGTGCAAACATGCCAAACACCCGCACAGCGTCATAAGGTGCTTGGTTACATACGGCATCATGGAATCGCAACCCGGCGGCATCAAGCTAGGTGCGCTAGTGCTACGATATTACGAACAAAGCGACTTCTCGAGAAATCATTGATATTGTCTCTACCTAGCTAAATAATAGGAGAGACTTTGTCTCGGTCAAAGTCATGGAAAATACCCTGCCATGCAAACCGATCTTCTCTTGAAACCCAAGTCCCGTGAAACCGAAAACATTAGACAATCATTGGTATGATACATCACATTAGGCACTCTTGACAATCCTGTTATTATCGAATGGTACTTCTTGCACGCCGTCCTTAGTCACGATCTTCACCAGAACCTAGAAGCTGTCAGCTACCCGTACTCGCTCGCACTCCAGGGCCTATGATTCCGGTAACATACCCCCTTGTAATCGATCGGTAGTCTGCGCTTCAACTCGTCTGTGCACATTTCCAAGAGCTTCATTCCTTCTTCGAGCGAAATGTCGGGGTGGTGGTGTTTATCGAGGGTGGACAGACAGTAGTATCTAGAGCAATTTAGTATGAGTCCCAACAGCTGAGACCGCTGTTACCCAGCGCCCGCACTTACTGTGCATATCCGTGAGCAGCATATGGTACAGGAGCCAGTGATGCCAGGTAATCAATCCAGTATAGGTGAGGCTTGTGCGTAATGGGATCGACACCTCCCAGCAAGAGGTTGACAGTGTAGGGATTCCGAGACCGCAGACTCCGCGCCATTTCTCCCCTAACAAAGCTAGCAACTGCATTCGGACCCAGCTCGGTATCGTTCCGCATCGTGTATAGTTGGATGTTGGCTTGGATGTACTCCGCAAATTGTACTAGTTGAGCTCCGGGTTAGCTATGTAGGTCCTAGCGATTCCGCGTCACCGATCACTGGGGAAGCTGCGACGAACCCGTGTCTCCCGCCTCTCCGGAGAAGGCCATAAGATTGTGTTCGTTCAGCTGCTTTGTCTTGTCATCTTCGGCTTTGAGGATGGTGGGGCCTCTCATGGCAGCCTTGGAGGCCGCCAGAATGACGAAGTCCTTGCCAGTGATGCCGAGTAGAACCTCCCTGTGAACGAGGATGAGTGAGCGTCGTGTCCATCAATTTAAATTGCGGTGTGCTTACATGTCTGTAGTATCTCAGGGTGTGATTATTTTAAAGGAAAGATGAAAGAGAGGGCGGTAATGGAAGAGGTGATGGGAAGATGACAGTCGAGAGCCCATCGTTGGCCGCGCGGAGCTTTGACTGCCTGGAGCTGCGGCTCTTGTTGCCTTACTGCCTTAGGCTTGAGCTCCGCGCTGAGTCAGCAATTAGGCGTAAAGTTGATGCGCCTTCCGCCTGCACGGTCCACCGGCAGAAAAAAGTGAGAAACCGAGTATCTCCATCGCATCGGCCAATTTGCCAGAGCCTTCTTCCCCTCCAGACCCTCTTTTACCGCCCGTTTTCCACTCCCGGAGCTTCGGTCAATTACATTGGGTGATGTCGTCCTTTTTCACCCTGCCCGCTTCGCAGCGGAAGCGCAAGAGAGAAGACCGCGCCGGCGCCCCCGCGTCTAAGAAACGAGGTGTCGATGGAGACGGAGATGCGGGCGCAAAGAGTGGCAAGAAGAAGACTAGGGAGCCGTCGGTTTCGGGAAGTGACATCGATGAGGATGAGCTCAGTGGCGCATCAGGTTTGTCGGAGGAGGAAAGTGGCTCGGATTCCGACGACGGAGAGACAGCCGGAGACCGGAGATTGAAGCTTGCGGAGCGGTACTTGGAGAATGTCCGGGATGAGGTTGAGGACTATGGCTTTGATGCAGCCGAGATCGATCGTGACTTGATCGCAGAAAGGCTGAAGGAGGATGTTGTACGTATCCATCGACCCATTCCGCTCCTGTTCGGCTGGTTGGGCATTTTACATGCAGAGCTGACGAGAACTGCAGGATGAATTCAAAGGACGCGTTTATCGTCAGATCGCCTCCGAGTTGGCCTTCTCGACGGCCTCCCATACCTTCTTCCGGGCAGATACGCAGTCAACTACGTCAATTGCAGTCCACGCGCCGTACGTTTACACCGTTTCGAAGGACAAGACCTTGATCAAATGGGAACTCGCCACACCCACCTCCACGGTTCCTACTACAAACGAAACTTCTAAACGTCCCCCAGCGCCCCAACGGAAGAAGCCAAAGCAGGTCAGGTTTGTGCGGGGCTTGCGAAAGGTTGCGGAGACGGGAGAAGAACATGGCCATACCAAGAACATCTTGTCTGTCGCAGTGTCGCCGTCCGGAAAATTTGTAGCCACGGGAGGACAAGACCGGAAACTCATTGTCTGGGATGCGGAGACTCTTACCCCCTTGAAGACCTTTACACAACATCGCGACGCTGTTAGTGGTCTTGCCTTCGCTCGTCATATATCTACCATGAGTTCCGGAGAGCAGCTCTTCTCTGGCTCTTATGACCGGACCATTAAGACCTGGTCTTTGAGTACAGCCGGCCATGCCTATGTTGAAACACTCTTTGGACATCAAGACCATGTTACGTCCGTCGCCGCCATGGCCATCGATCAGTGTGTCAGTGTGGGAGCGCGCGATCGCACGGCCAGGTTGTGGAAGGTTATCGAGGAATCCCAATTGATCTTCCGTGGTGGTTCTAAGAGCGCCTCCTATCAAGAGAACAACATTGATTGTGTAGCGCCGTTACCTCCTAACCACTTCGTTACGGGATCGGACTCAGGTTCCATCTCTCTCTGGTCCGTTCACAAGAAGAAGCCGCTTCACACGATCCCTCACGCACACGGCCTCGACCCCTTACCTCCATTGGACGAACTTTCCTCGGAAGTCAACCAGGAAACCGCAGCACACAACTCCCGTCACCTCCGGCGCATGCCCCGCTGGATCACCGCTCTGACTACCCTTCCAGGCACAGATGTCGTTCTTAGTGGCAGCTGGGATGGCTTCATCCGGGCCTGGAAGATCTCGGAAGATAAAAAGACTATCGTTGCCCTGGGCCCTATCGGAGCAGGATCCAGCATCCCGCTTACTCCCGATACCCCATCCGAGCAATTAAAGCAGACCCTCGCTTTCGACACACCAACGAGCCCGGATCACATGGCAGTCGACGGTGCGCCGGCCCAGCAGGCCGAGGAGGAAGCCGAACCGCTGATCAAGGGTGTTGTCAACGACATTGCCGTATTCGAGCGTCGCGCAGAAACCGCCAAACCAGGCCAAGCGCCAGCAGAACCCAAGCCCAAGTCCAAGACCAACAACAAGCCGTCTGCGCCCGAGCAACATGGGCTCTGCATCGTAGCCGCTGTTGGCAAGGAACATCGGCTAGCAAGGTTCAAATGCTTCTCCAACAACTTCCATGACGGCCCCACCGCAGACGGTCGGAACGGCGCCGTGGTGTTCGAAGTACCATTCATCTCCGAAAAATCGAAATGATCAAATCGAGGCGCTGACTGACTAACTGATCTTGGTGGGCGGCGCTGGACGGCTGTATGCAATGTAGTGAAAACAAGGCGTCTGTGCATTCTATATCTCCTTCTATTTTATGCATGTATCTTTTATTCCCGGGCCGGTGGTCTCTGCATATTGCTTTCAAAAGTTCGCATTAGACGAGGTACTTTTCTGTTCTACTATCTCTCTAATCTCCGTGATTTAGCCGGTTTTTTGTACGATGTATATACTTTGAACATGACAATTTTCTTGAATGACTCCTCTCCTACTACTAGTATTATTACTACTCATCACAAAACATCCACCCCCTCACCAAGTCGAACTAACCCCAACAAAGCCAGCAATATGTACCGACAACTCCTTCCTTCAACCCACAACATAAGCGCCGAGCGTGACAACGACCCTGTCCCCTGCAGGCCACTAAGTCTAGCTTGTCTAGCTAACGGGTTCATTAATTCCCCGGCGCTAAAGCCGGCGACTAGACTGAAGGCGGATAGGGATATCTGCCTAGGCCCTAGAGCCCTAGACTAGATACTATTTAGTGGACTCCGCGAGTTGGGCGGGGCATGCTGCATACGTAGTTACTAAGTTTAGTTCAATAATACTACTACTACTACTACTACTACTACTACTACTATTATTATTATTATTATTATTATTATTTACGACTATGGTTTATGATCAGACGCAGTAAGTATTTACTCGTATGTTGGCCGGGAAGGACTAAGGGTTATTCATGTAGTACTAAATGCCGTGACGCGCGCACGCGAATGTGCGCGGTTAGGATTGGAATTTGGGGAGGGGTAGGTCACAGGTGGTAGTCCTAGTATGTCATGCCGGGCGGGCCGGGGAAGGATGCAATGTGGACTTTGGTAGTAGTAAGGTTGTGGGTGTTGTGTGGTGCTGGCTTTGGGGTTTTCGTGGCTGGGAGGGTGGAGGATGGGTGTTCTATTCTATTCTACTGATATACTGGTAACTACTGCTTGGTCATGGTTCACATGATCAGTGTGGGAAGTTTTGGTATGTATTGTCTCAATCAATGAGGTTGTCATTTCCTGCAATCTAGAATGATAGTAAAGCGGGAAAGAAGAAGAGTAACAGAAGACTATGCCATAAGATGCTTGATGATACAAGTGCTCTTAAACAGAAATGTCATAATAAACCGAACGTCGCCTGGAAACGACCTTTACCCAAGGTACTGAATGAGCAGCAAGAGACAAGAGATCGAAAACAGGGGTATTTTCAAATGGCCTGGGAGGGAAGTTTAAGCCTTGGTCGCGGGGATGATGCAAGTAGAATAGAACACGACTTCGTATTTTCTCCGTCGTCGTAGATCAAATCGCCAGCTCGGTTGTTCGTGTGTATGTAGCAGGCCTAATATAGAAGGGTATAATTTCTTTTGGGGTCTCAAGGATGGGTGAACTAGCACCGCAGAATCAGGGGAAGTCGCAGATAATGGATCATTAGGAAGTAATATCAATCGTCATTGGAATCGTAGATGAGATGTCGGAGTGCTTTAGTAGGCAGAGGGGCGGCGATGGCCCCTGTCTCTTGTCCGCCTAGTTGGTCGCACGGGGCCTTCGTCAGAATCGTCATCCACGCTGATTGCATCCATAACAGTAGACCCGGCGGACACTTGCTGTGGGAGCCGTCGATCATTGCGGGATCCTGCTTGGGATCTGGATTCACTGCGTCCTGAGACTGTACCAGAAGTCCCATTCTCGCAAGATGGAGAACTCGACTGTATTCGGTAGGTTTGGATGCGATTGCGCCGCATGCCACCTGCAGGTGGCAGAATCGGATCCTCATCGTCGTCATCATCATCGTCGTCGTCATCATGACTTTCATCATCCAGGCTCTCCTCGTCCTGGCTTTCCTCAGACATCTCATCAAAGGTTGACAGGTCAGTTCCGATAGTGTGGGTGATCGAGATCTCATGCCGCCCAACTACCGTGGATCGGTCAGATTCAGAATAATCATCGTGTTCCAAGTCATCGTCGATGAACGAATCCATGTCCGCATCCTCATCCTCCTCATCCATGTCGCTATCTTCCTCGAGAGCTGACGAAATTCCAGAAGGCCAGTCATAATGGTTCTGCCGGCGGAAAGGCCCATTTGCACGCATACCCGGGAGGTCGCCAGGAGCTAGGCCATACCATTGACGATAAAGTTGATCTATGTCGGCAGGTTGTATATCAAGGGGCAAGTGGTCATGGTTGGGGTCCCAACCATATTCGTCCGCGTCTCCAAATCCATCTTCAATCTCATCATCGTCGTCCAAGTAGTCCGTCATTTCGGAATTTTCGTCTGACTCACTCCAGCCCGAACTGCCAGTCACAGACTCGTCATCTTGTCGATATCCGCACTGTGCACACCCTTCATCTTCCTCTAGCTCCCACGAACAACGTGGACAACGCACAACATTGTCCTCGAGGTCCACGATAGGTTGCGCGACTGGAATCTTCTTGTTGAACGTACCACGGAACAGTCCCCCCTCCCGCGGGTGTGTATTTGTTTTGTCGTTTTCCAGTCGTTCCGCTTCCTCGCGTTGATGATGTAGGTGTTCAACTGTGGTCTCGCCCTTATCAAGCAGCTCCGGGCGACTTGTGAACATTTGAACAACAGCGCGGACCTTGAGTACTTCAGTTAGTGCCTGTTGCGCATCGAATCAGAAATGAGCATGATGTCAGGGGCTTACCAAGTATGCGGGAGCAGGTTGCGCTTTCACCGGTGCTCGACAGTCCGGGCATGTCTTGTTGTGCCTCCCACCGACAAACCATGATGTTAAACACTAGAGCGAAAGGTTAGACGCCAAAACTTATGAGGGTCGTCGAGATTGGCGATACTGACACTATAACAAAAGGTATGTCCGCAGGCAAGGGTGTAGGGTTCATAAAGTGGTCGGATGCAAACGCCGCATTGTAGGAGAGAACGGATATCGTCGACATGGCCTTGCAGCGTTTCAAAGAGCTAGAGATGTGGGGGATTTGTCAGCGCACGAAAAGCTTGATTATAGGAAGGAAAGCTTACCCCTGACGCGTTGTCTCCAGTATTGACATTTGGTGTGCTGGTGCTCTCGGAGCCATTGCTCAGGGCAGCTCCAGCGGGGGTAGGTTCGGACATGGTATGAGGATACACAGACCAGACACTGGTGGTAACGGCCTTATATAGTTGAGAATCTGGTCTTTGTATCCGACGCGACAAGTTCCGTCTCAGATACGGAAGGCGAACGGCTTGCGGTCGGGGAGGAAGGGGTTGGATACAAATAGTATGGATGGGAACTCTCAGGTACGCGCGAGGATTGCCGACATAACTGGGTCCGGACTTTTGCTATGGCAGAAGGAACTCCCCACCAAGCGCTTGAGTTTGACGCGACGGGAGATGGGCGCCAGAGGTCAAGATGAGGTGCTGTTGGCCTGAAGATACCAGACGGTATGACCGGCACGAAGCAGAGGGTGAAGGTTCGAAGAAAGAAAAGAGGAATATGATCTATGGCGATTGGTCTGGCCGGCGTGAGCATGATTTTCTGGTCGGGGAATCTGCGCGCAAACCGAACAAACAATGGGGCGGCGGATGATTGAGTGGATCCGTGGAAGAAGCCGAAACTCTACCTATCGTCGGGTCGATCCCATACATCACAAGTTCACAACCATCTCTACTCCGTACCTTCCAACACATCTTTCCAACTTCCAACAAAGAAACAGGGAGAATCGGGATTAAACCCAGCCTGATGGGTTAGCAGACAAGGTTATGGGCTGTGATTTGTCCGTCTTCAGAGCTAGACGACGACCCTAACGGAAAACTAAGGCCGAAGGAGTAACCCGGCGCCGTCTCACCGTCGATACGCCAAATGTATCTCAGCAGCTCTTTAGCTCTGTCATAAGTGGGCCACGTCGGGGTTATTACTGCAGTTGGTTCGAAATAACTTGTCCAGAAGTTATTCTAGTTAAGCAGTGAGATGGGGCCTGCTCATGTCCCAACAGTTCTGATACTTTCGACAAGTTGGCCACCATCACCCTGTTCCAAATTAGTGCATTCGCTTCGTATGTCCTGGCGCTTCAGTGAACCTTATGTGAGTATGCAGGGTATAGCTTATCTTAATATTATGTGATGGCTTCTTCTTTTCTCGTGGCAATAACTAGGCCAGCGTGTCTCCATCGTATGACAGAAGAAACAAGGCTAAATCCGGACCATCAACAACCGTCTGCCACACTTGCATTTTATCTCCTCTACTCATACCCTAAACTATGGCTATACCCATCTAGCACTCTCTCATCACGGTTGTATAGATTGAATCACAGCAATCAACATGGAGCTGGAACGAAGTCTCATCTTCCAGACTCTTGGTGCGCACGGCTTCACTATGTTGTTCCTCTTCAATTGGCAACTGACTGCAGGTCATCTGCATGCGGTTCATTTACTAATACTTTAGCCAAGCAGCGCATGGCTTTGGCTTATGACTTTGTTCTAGCCGCTCCTGTTGCACTAAAGCGCTTGATAACCGCCTCAAGACCACCCACTTTCGGGTTATACCCCAGTAGCGGGTTACCCCCTACAAGAAGAGGGTCTCCTGACTATTTACTGATGTGTTTATGCAGGCTTGGATGTATTATGTATGAGACAGGAGAATATGGAGAGGTTTGAATTGATATCCTTTTGATTAAAAAAAATCTTTTCTTTCTTTCGCGAAAACAAAATGAGAGCGTTGGTCTTTCAAAGCCAAATTGAAGCGAAAGTGATAATTTCAAATGACAAAGCTCAGCAGACGTAGCAATTTGGTTGTTGCATCATTCGACATCGGCAAGCGCCCGCTTACGCGAATGCTCGCGCTTCAAATCCTCCGAGATGAGATGGCTATCATCGAAGACGCCCTTGATCACTTTCTCGTCTTCCACGATCTCCTTATCCATATGTTCAAGGAAATCGATCTGCTCCCTGATGAAATTCTTGGCAGCACGAGTATCAAAAGTGCGCCGGGCTCTTTGCTGATCGCGCATGAGCCTATTGACGTCACGGAGACGCTCGCCAAGAAGCTCGAATCGATACTCGGTGAATTGATGATACAATTCATTCAAATTTGAGATCGGTCGGACGGTGGTGAGAACGGTGTCGTCCTTGACGGACGAAGCCCGAGGACGGAAGGACGTCACCATGGTGATTCGCTCCGTCGCTCCCAAAGCACGGAGTGCTTTGTGCTCAATGTAACGGCCTTGTAGGATGACCGCTGAACCCTAGGACGACTCATAAGCCTTGAGCTTTGGGAAATACCTGTCATGTACTTACTTTCTGCGGTCCCCTGACTTTGACTATCTCGCCATTGCCCGTTCGAAGAGCTGTTTCTCCTCCGACCATATTGGTGCAGTCGGAAAGCATTGTCACGCAAACGAAGGGGTAGCTGTCAGTGTGCCAGTCGACTATGGCATCATCGTCGCTGGGCTTTACGGCAATGCCCTTACCCAACACTTCGGCTTTCTTCGGAGCATCGTGCTTCTCCTCTTCGCTGTGGCCAGAAATGTTCACGTGTCCCAGCTCGAAGTCCATGACCGGGACAAGATCGACACCAGCAACTTTGGAGATTATGGCAAGAGTCTCTGGGTTTTTCCAGGCGTCATAAACAAATGGAGCGCACCTATTCCTATGTATCAGTCATGGCTCCAAATAAGGTGAAAGCTCCGATATTTACTCAGCTGCATATCCCCTGAGTTGGCATTGAGCGATCTCACTCGAGTACTTGTGGTTGGAGTAGACCTCTTTGGTGAGGACTTCCTTGCGCATTTGCTCAATAGCTTCGGCCGAGAATAGTGGGAAGGGCTCGGAGACGCCAACAGGGGAAACTCCACGGCTGTTAGGGTAGCCGAGCTCAACCATGGTGTGGACCTTCGAAGGGGGCACAAAAGCCAGATGCTTGGACGGGTCGAATACCACATTGTTTGGCTCTGCAGTGGCATCTTCGATCTGGCAAGCCTCGCCGGCGATCTCGACTAGCTCATTAATGGCTGAGACCGGGCTGGCCATGCTAGAACCGACTGGGGCCATTGCTAAGGCTTGAAAGGATTCTGAGAGACAATTGGCAGAGAGGATGGTATTCGGTTACTTTGAGAGCGCTTAATGGTCTGTTACTTGAATGAACTGAGAGAAGCTGATGAGGAAAGAAAAGAGTTCAAGGGTGGCCAGGTATTTATACTCAAATCCAACCAACCTGCTCGTGGCAAGATCCGAATTCAAATAACTTCACTGTACGCTGAATCTTGACAAATCTGTGGGCTTCTCCAATGTGTGAATTCTCTCTGAAGCTTGACAGCTGATAGCAAGCCCTAGCTATAGAAAAATACGTACGGTATGTTCCTTGGTCAGTGAAAGCATGTTAATGGATGCATGGGCAGATCGGAGCGTGCTAATGGCTCGAGCATTGAGGGATTACTTTTTCTTGGGGAATTTCTGTTATGAAGTCCTCACATTCGGTGAGATCCTATGCGCCTGGTCATGGACATTAACTGGGCTCCGCTTTTCATACTGCTCGGTGGAAGCAACTTGAACATCTTAGGCCTATAGCGACAGCTGATGGAGATAGCCCGTGGATACTGTTCCTGTGTTCAGTTTGGCACAGTGAATCCATAGCCAACCAAGATACCATTCTCATGATGGCCGTCCAATGTTTTGTTGGCCCTGGATTTGTCGGTGCTTTCAGTCACTGGGTAGACCCAGAGAGAACAGACCCCCAGTGACAAGAAGTGGGCAGATAGTGATTGTGTCAACCAGTTTTGGAAAGCCAGACCAGGCAGCTTCCCAGCTGGTACTTGTGCGGCTAGCGCCGAGATATCTTACTACCTCACATCGAACCTGACGCGTGCTTTTGAATTTCCTGTTTCGAATTTCGGCTGCCAAAGGTTCGATTAGGGCATTCCAGGACCAGACAGGCACCGATAGATGTTATGGTTTGTCGGGATTGGGGATTGAACGTATGTTACGAGAGCTGCCAAATATCTACGCGCAAAGCCACTAGTAGTTGGGGATTTTTGACTTGACTCGGAAAAGGATCAGAATCGGCTTGGTTGTCCGACTGGGTAGGTCGTTTAGCAAGCTGGTGCGACTATCAGATAACAGAGATCACTCCCTCTCCTCACAGCCTATGCCTACCGTTGCGGACTCGCAAGAATTCTGCGGCCCTTGCGCTTTCGGCGCCCATGCAGGTGTTTAATGTCTGTTTCCGACTAAGGGGCCTTGCAGAAGGACTGGCAGTGGTCCTCGTATCCCGAAACAGGTCATATCCAAATGCGTTCTTGCTTGATCCCGACTGGGGCAACAGCATTGAATATGCCCTCTGCGAATGAGCAGTAAATGTTGGGATACTTTCCGACAATTACGTCCACTGGCTGACTAGTATAGCCACAATGGGTATGCAAACACAAATGGGCACTGGAATCATGATTCATATTACCCTATATCATACACGGACGGTGAAGTGGGCGTGATGCATACTATCAGTGCTTGCATGTTTACAGGCTAGCTTCATTGTTCAACAATACTGTGGTATGGCCAGATGGGATTATCTCCTAGCATGGATGGGCTACCCAACGAAATAAGCAGACATGCCTTGTAACTGCCCCATCCTACCAATAGCTTTCTTTGGATATGATTTCTTCCTCGAATCAGCACCCTTTATAGTAGCATGGGCAGGACCATGTGACGAACAAGAATAAAGTCAGACAGCATCTGCAACCAACATGTACGCAATCCGAAAACGCCACCAAGCTCTGCTGAACATCTTGACACTATCTGTAAAATAGTGCAGACGGGGGAGAAAGAAAAGCAAGCATATCCCGGAATGCCATGGCAATGAGCGGTAACCACTGCAGATGGCGTCCCAAAAAGATGCAGTACCTGTCTTGGAGTCAGTCATTATTGTAATTGAGACCCTCTGAACCCGTAGTTGCTCTGGGTTTAATCTCCATCTCTCTGATAAAATGCGTTGATGGCTCCACACTTGCAGGGCGAAATTATTTGAGAACCTACAGTCCATCTTTCTAGAGGGTGCAGTAATCAAAGAGTGAAATCGCTCGCAGCCGACCAACCTTAGATTAAAACTGCATGAAATCAAAACCTTTAGCTTTTAGCTTTTAGGCAGGATCCATAGTCTATATTCTCTCAACCGTGCGACATTCAACCGCATCAGTGGGATTCCATCCTAAGGTTCTCATAGTTCTCGGGGATGGATCTCCACGCCAAGACTGGCGGGTCTGGATTTTCCTCCGGTCGCTTCGATTGGTGCAACTACTGCCATCCTCATCCTCATCAACATTCAACATCTACCCGCAATATCCCGGTTATATCCTATCTCGGGCTTAGAGTTTCCTCCTCTCGCAGTCTCCCGAACTCGCTCCGTATTCTGGCACTCGCCTGCTCGGCTCATCACAGAATATGGCTTCCCAATCTGATAAACAGCCAACCCCATCCGACCAAACCAATCCCAATGCTTGGGAGCGGGTGGAGCGGAAATTCACCAGGTATGTTTAGGCGTTCGCCTCTTTCTGATTCTCACCGTCAATGTTCTCCTCCTTTTTTAATAATCGAGCGCCATAACGCGCTCGAATCTTCGAGCCCTTGGTTTGACTTCTCTCGTGCTGCTCCAATGATTCAATGGTTTCCATCCATCAAGGGAGAGGGGACAAGGTCGATCTGCTAGCCCATGACACCTACTTGTAGATAAGAGTTCATTGCTGACAATCACCTGTTGTCTTTAGCAAACCGGCAAGCGAATACTTTGACCCATGTCAAGATTTCGCAGATCGAAGCCTCAAGTGCATGAAGCGCAATGGCTTCGATAAGGAGATGTGCTCGGATTATTTCCAGTGAGTTCACCAACTCGTCACAGGCATCTCCTCGCCTTCTACTCAGTCACTATGATTGGTCGACTTGCTGCCATTTGTCTCTGAGAAATTACCTATGGTGCCATCTTCTACCTGTCAAGTGGCTGAGGTAGCTGCTTTCCGGAGTTTCCTGCCGTATATGGAATATCCACCCCATAGACTGACCAAATACTATCCAGGGCTTACCGGGATTGTAAAAAGGAATGGGTGAGTACGGACCATTAGGCTTGATTTTCTGTGGCCTCACCACTCCCTCGCCGAGATCACCCCTCGGAGGAATGATTGCACTCCCATTGGGAGAATTCTTGGGTCGCTTTCGGTTATGGATGGACTAACGCATCTCTCCAGTTAACACAAAAGAAGCTTGGCTCGTCTGCAGCCAAACGCTGATCGAGGGCTTCATGAGTTCCCTTTGCTTCACTGACTTGCATTTGGAACTGCCACCACTATATTCGCCCTGTTATGGCGCCTGTGTTTACCAGACCTTCAGTATCTTCTGAGCCAGAACCATGCTCTCACTTATCTCTTGCTCTCATTGGCGTGCTACCACTTTTGTTCTAGCCCAAGGCATCGACATGAATGCTACTTTTCGGCGGTCTCGGTCATGCACCAGCAAGCCGCCTATATGTTCAGTGACTTGGCGAAAATTCTGTTTCCATCACCAGCTGCTGTTATCGGGGAAGCGATTACTGTTTCTGCCATGAGATACCTGGCCTTCCTTCACCATTTTCCAGTTCGTCTGTACAGTGGAGGTCTCATTTGGGCATGGTCCTTCCTGGCGTTCATAGTGCATGGCTTCAGTCATTGGTCTGGCTTCTGTTATCTGTATAATATATGCGTCACTATTATAGTAAACCCGGTCCCAACTCTTGGCTCACAATACCAGAATTTGTTAGCTTTATGATATCTATTGCAGCATCTTGTAGTCGTGTTGCTTCACCGAACCACTAGTGGTAGTACTAGATAGAAGTTTGGACAAGCAAATAAAGTTAGTACTATCCTATTGAACTGAATTGGCGAAGTATATACTCCGGGTTAGTTACTAAAATATACTACCAGTAGTACTACTACCTAATGCTCTACAGAGCAAAACATAGAGCTAACACTCTGTGTTTTCCTCCTCTAGCCCACCTTGCAAAAGCTACAAAAATTTTAGATAAAAACGAATAATGCTACTAGTCATACTTTCCATATTACTCGTGCACACTGATGGCTGCCGGAAGCATCAGATTCCCCGGCGGTCACCGCCTTCCCGCAGAGCTTCCCCGCCCACCAAACTCAGCAGAAAGCCGATAAAGAAAGTATGAGGAGACAGACACCTTAATTTCTCCCCTCATCATCGCCGTATATACTACCCCGCACACCGTGTGCTGTGCTTGATCGCGCAGCATACGCTTCTGTTCCCTTGTTCTTCTTATAATTAAATAGATCCCTGGGACCTATACCCCTCTGACTCTTCGAGTCTGCCCCTCTCGTCATGTCCACCAGTGACGCCGTGTTTCATCGGCGGAACAAGCAGGTTCAAGATGCCATTGATGGGCAGAACCTCAAGCAGGCTCTTCAACTGATTGATAAGCGCATCAAGAAGGGCGAAGACACAAGATTCCTTAAAGTGGGTAATAATACTATACTCTACTCATTCATATAAACACGCTACCTCCAATCGCTTACCGTGGTTTTGTCAACATACATCTGCTAACTAATGGATAAAGGCATGGAAGGCAAACATCCTGTTCCGTCACGCCGACGACGCAAACCGTAATCGCGGTATCTCGGAGACCCTCGAATTATGCAAAGCTGAACCGCCCACAACGGATCTCGACACCCTCGATATCCTTCATGAGACGCTGGAGCGGCTGCCCAACCATGCGGACACACTGAGGAGTATCTGGGAGAAGGCCTCGAAGGCCAATTCGAAAGACTTGGATATTCAAATGAGATGGTTCGAATATGCGTTCGAAGGCGACGACTGGAAGTCCGCACAAAAGGTCGGTACACTGCACGGGCATTGCTCATGGCTTCCGAGGCTGATGATTGTCTCTCGTTGGCGGATTCTTAGGCTGCTATGGCTCTTCAAAGTAACTTCCCAAAGACGAGGAAGTACCACTTGTGGGCCATCTTCCTTAGCTACCTCGTTTCTATCGACCAGGCTAGCTCCGAGGCTGATCGCAAACTTTTTGGAATGCTGGCCTACCGTATGATTTCTAAGGCTGCCGAAAGTGTTCCTTCCGATTCGGTATGTTCTTCTCCATTTCAACCCCGGACTCCCGTTGGACGTTCTGTCCGATATGAGTCTGCTTCGATGGCTTCAATGGTGTAACAAAATGGTGATGATTGAAAACAGAAGGAATTGCTGAGCCCTCCCAGAGCTATCCAATCGGCCGAGGAGTTGCTATTGCTGATTAAGATCTTTGAATCCCAAGAACGTCATGCCGAGATTGTGAAGATCCTCGATAGCGAGAATCTTGGTATCAGCTCGCGCGTGATCCAGAATGACTGGTCATTTATTGGAGAGAAGCTTTCGAGCCTGGAAAAGGCTCAGATGTGGACCGATGGCCTGGCCTACACCAAGGGGCTGCTTGCGATCCCGACGAACGAAGCTGAACAAAAGGCTCTCCAGGAGCGTGACGACTGGGCTGTTTGGCACCTGCTTATTGCTGCAACCAAGAACATCAACACTTCAGAGTAGGTGCTCCGCTTCGTTGTGTGGCATATACAGCAGCTAACGTTATGCCCAAGAACCACGGATGCGACACGGAAGTTCGTTGACGAATTTGTTGCGGCTGTACCGAAGTCCCGTAATGCGCAATTGGCTCGACTTGACCTGATGCACTGGTCCTTCCAGGCGGGTGTTTTGAAGGCCGAGGACCTGATAACCGCTTGTCAGGAGTACTTCGATCGCAATAAGCACAAGCTTTATTGCTTTGGCGATCTGCGAAGCTACGTTCCAACACTGGACAAGAGCGCTGCGTTGAAGTTTGTAGAATACGTATCTGCAAGCGCAGCTGGTAAAACTGATGTAAGTCACGAAGCTCAAAAAGGCTTAACTCCAGCTAATCCTTTCCGTTAAAGGAGGTTGCAAAGATCAATGCGCTCAAGTGCGAGTACTGCTTTTTACTGTCAGCAGACGAGAACAATGCATCCAAGGCAAAGGTTGAGGAGTTCGTTTCTCGTTGCCTGCAGGTCTATCGCGAAGTCGAGCGCCCCGAAAAGAGCTCAGCACCTTCTACTATCGAGAGTCAGCCCAGTGATGACTTGTGTCTGCTTGCGGCCATGAGCTTGAGTCGCTTTAGTGGCGCATTGATTCCCGACAGCAGCGAACAAGTCCCGGATACTGTTCTGATTCGCGCAGCAGCAATCCTGGAACGTCTTTTGGTTGACTCGCCTCATAATTACCAGGCACTGTTGCTTCTCGTGAGGATCTACCTCCGTCTTGGCGCAGGATCTCTTGCCCTTAGAACGTTCAGTAAACTCTCGGTGAAGCAAATACAGTTCGAGACGGTTGCTCATAACCTCTTCACCCGTCTCGCGACTATCCACCCCCACTCTGCACCACCAATCGAGGGAGCAGAGTACAAAGACTTCAACCCCCAATCTGCTTTTATCCAGGCACTCAACTTCTACAAAACAGCCGATGTCACGACTGTTAGGAATCGTTCTAAGGGATTGGATTATGGAAGCTACTTCAACGTACAAGGCACCATTGATCTGCAGAAACGCCTTAAGCAAAGTATTTGCCGCAGAATGTGGGCTCTGGATGTGAGACGCATACAGCGACTGGCTGGTGGAGACCCTATGGGTCGTTACCAAGACATGGGTAAGTCAGGTTATCTTTAGTCCGAGGTGTGTTGCTCACACAAACAACAGCGAGAGATACATCACCTCTGGTCGACCAGCGTATTTTTGACGCATTCATGAATTGCGAAACGCCTGGCCAACCCACCTTTGAGGAGCGAATGCGCCTGGGACCCCTGCCTCGCGTAAGCTAATTCTCGTCCTGCGACCCGTGGGTATGGCTGACCAGTCTAGGATCAATGGATCAAATCTTCAAGGATGACAGACCATCTCTTTGACCTTCTCAAATCTATGACGGCTCAGAAACCCGTCTCTGTGGAACCTGAGTTGCCTAGGTTTGAGGACGTTGTGGGACCCGAAGCGGAAGTTGAAATGACCCCGTCAGAGATCGAAAGTGCCAGGGTGAACCTTAACATTCTAACCTTGGCTTTGTTCCTGAACGGATCGAAGTCAGTCACCTCGGAACAGGTGGATACCTGTCTCACCCAAGTCGAGGAGTGGCTGGAGTCCAAGCTCAACGACGTCACTGTGAACGACGCCAATATCTCGCCAGTAATATCCAATACGGCAATCTACGTGAAACCAAAGGCCCCAACTGCTCCGTCCTGGAGGTACTTCCATAGCCTTTTCACAGTACTCGACTCGCTTAAGGCCCTGTCCCTTCTCTACACAGTTGGGTTGAGAAAGGGCACCAAGGGCAAGCTGCCGAAAGAACGTGTCGAAAAGTTGGCTGACAGGACACGCCAAGTCCATCAGGGTGTGCGAGCCAATGTTCGAGCCCTCAAGTCTTTCATCTCTGCTCCCGGTGTTCTCGGCTCGCTGACTGATTTGGTCGTGGCTGGTTCTGGAAGCGAAGATGGCTCCCAGCTCCGTACCGAGCTGGAAAAGACTTTGGATACGGCTGCTTTGGAGGTGTTCTGTGGCGAGCTGATGGAGAGCTGGGAGGAAGGTCTTGGTGGGGTGTTCGCCGTGTCTATGTAGAACTCAGCGAAAGCAGCATGCATTGAAGCAAGTTATGAGCATTAGATAATCCATCCTTAGCCAAGTTTCCCCAAAACAATACAATCCATCCACTGATACTCTTCTCGACGTGTGACATCCGCACCCAAGATGGCAATTGCTACCATCCGGGGCCATGGGATAGTCTGATATTTCGGTTTCAGGATGCTTCCCACTTCTGTAGTACAGTTGGACCCCAAAGGCGCCATTGAGAAAAATCGGCATGTAAGACAGACGTGACCTTGGAGTTAGAAGAGCGCTCACGAGACCTGTATGCGAGAATGCTCATCTCTCTGCTACAACGAAGATTCGGTATTTCACTTTGATTCCGATCACGCACGGCTGTCCCATGTAACCCATACCCTTGGGTCAGAAACATGGTCGATGAGTCTAGCGAATCGAAACAGCCAGTGCCTGAGACGGTGAAGCACCAGGGTAAGCTCGACAAGCAAAGAGAGGGTCACACTAGCATTGCAGCGTAATTTCCCCGACCCATTGTCGTGGGCACTTCCACAACCCTCCCAGAGTTGTACCACACACCAGTTCCCCGGCAGGTTGTGACGCCTTACTATCCAGGGGAAAAGGTTTCCAACTTCGTTTGGGACCATTGTTTGATCCTCATGGCTAGCAAGGACAGGGTCCTGCGAGAACTAGTTACACCCTAGAATGTATCACTTTTGTCGCCTTGGGGCCAGGAACAGAACAAGGGTTATAAACTCCGGTTGTCGGCTTGGTAGGCCTAGTTAATGGGATTGTTGCTGATGTAGCTCTTTCCCTTTGTCTGGTGGACGATACCATGGCCGAGGTCTACTCGAATGGAAACTCTTCTTCACCCTCTTATGACTATCGCTACTCGCATCAGCCTTGGAATGTGGTCACTCAGACGGTGTGTCTTGTCGTGAGTACTGGCTTTGTTGCCATGCGGCTGTATTCGAAGATCCATATCACGAAAGCGCCTGGTTGGGAAGACTGTATGTGGGATCTTGTTGTTATTCGTTTTGGGCTCGTCGATGAGGTGCTGATGAGCTGTGTTCTAGGGACATGCTGTCTGGCTTGGGTATGGAACAACTCCTGCTTGCCATATCATACGCTCATGCAACATCACTACTACTTAGCTCGGACTGTTAGGTTTTGTCGGTATCTCCCTCGAGGCAGACAGACATGGAATCGGTGTTCATCAATGGGAGGTTGATCCCCATGATCTGAGCGATTTCGCCAAAGTATAAAACGGCCCTGCCCATTCTAACTAGGCATATCTGCCACAGCGACTGACCTTGAGATATAGCTGATAAACGCATCGCAGGTTCTCTATGGGCCTCTGATATTCCTCACCAAACTATCCATCTTCCTTCTTTACTTGCGGGTGTTCGCTCCATCTCCCAAGTGTAACCAGTGGTGGTTCATACAGATTCTCATGGGGCTGAACTTTTTCTTCTACTTGGCAGATACTATCGTGAAGATCTTTGAATGCACACCAAGAGCAAGGATCTGGGATAAGACTGTCCCGGGTCGTTGCATTGACGCTGTCATACCTGTCCTTGTGACGTCCATCGTGAACGTCGTCTCGGATATCATGATGCTGCTGATGCCCATCAGATGTGTCTGGCGGTTGCAAATCACTTTACGGAAGAAAGTAGGCATTACAGCTATATTTGCAGCTGGTCTTTTGTGAGTTTGCCAGTCTAAATTGTTCCATCATGTTCTTCGACGACAAGTAAACAGCGCTAATTGCAACGGACAATATAGCGGCTGTCTCGCCAGCGTGATGCGTCTGCGTTGGAGCGTCAAAAACCGCAACACAACGGATAATACTTACGATGCGTTTCCTGAGCTTTTATGGACGTAGGTGATGATACCTTTCCTTCCATCCTATCCAAAGTGTCCTTCTATAGGGACTGATTTATATAACTAACCATGTCCTGCTAGAACGGCGGAAATAACCTCTGGAATTATCGCCAGTAGCTTACCAGCCCTGCCGAGCTTCTACAGACACACCTCCCAAAAAGCCAAGAGACTCGTCAGGAGCATAAGCACCGCAAGTCTGACTACATTCAAGAGAAGACTACCCAGCACAGGCAACGGATCTGGGGCTCGACAGTCTGTTTCGCATCTTTCCTGGCATCCAAGTTCCGATCCAAGCAGATCCGAACTGGTGCGGTCCGGATCGGACTGGGAGATGGGGGAGATCGGACCATTTCACGGAACGTTCTTCATGACTACAACAGGCACTGCGGAGGGAGATGGGGAGAAGGGGTTCCACTCTAATATTGATGGGCTCCGGGTGGAGGAGGAGGGATGTAAACAACAACTGCCGAGGGGTGGAATTCTGAAGACAGTGCAGGTGGAGATTGAGTCTGGGCCTGCTCTGAAAGAGTACGAGTAACAGTTTAGTATATTCTGTGTAGAGTGAGTTGCGTATGAGAACGACGGAGATGGTGAAATTGAACAGGATCTCATAGATGGAAACTCCGCATTGATCCAAAATCCCCATATATTCCATAGACTAAACTAAACTAAACCCAAAGTAGTAACAACTTATAGACACCTCAGGCATTAACACATGACAAAGACGGGCAAACCAACCCTAAGCCCTAGTGCTCGCTACGCACTGCCGCAACGGCCAACCAAAACCCAGCAAAGTCTATCGCGATTCCATCCGCACCGACGCCCCTCGACTTCGACAACTCCCAGCAGCAACCTCCGTCGTCGCCAACCCGCAGTCGTCCCAACCGTCGTGATGGCGCAAGAACGTTCCGGAATCGTGGTCGGTCTGAACAAGGGCCACGTACGTTGTCCCCTGTCCTGAAGCTTGTTTTTTGAGTGTCCCGTTTTTGTCTTTGCGCGTGGAAAGATTTGGTCCGGTCGAGTCGACGAGATTTCAAGCGTGTGAGCGGTTTGCGGAAAGGTACAATTTGGATGGGAATGGAAAAAGAAAAGGCCGAGAAATTTGGGAGGAATTTAAGAATTATATGTCCGGAGAAGGGTCTTTTTTGTCTGCAATGCGGCGGAAGGATTCCTTTACAACGGCCCGACATTTTTGACCTTTACATTCGACATGGAAAAGATTGGGAACTGGGAATTGAAATCGTCCGACTCGGCTGGATCATATCGGAATACTGCTGCTTTGATATCTCCAATTATGGAGTTTTTCGCGGTTGAAAGACAAGGAAGATCAAGGACAATCGGACTAACATGTCTTTGATATCTTGCAGAAAACCACCCCCCTCAACACCCCCAAGACCCGGATCAGCCGTACCAAGGGCCAGTCTTCCCGCCGCACGGCCTTCGTTCGTGAGATCGCCCGCGAGGTTGTCGGTCTTGCCCCCTATGAGCGTCGTATCATCGAACTCCTGAGAAACACTCAGGACAAGCGCGCTCGTAAGCTCGCCAAGAAGAGAGTACGTTTGCCAATGCCTTGCCTTTGTTATCTGGAGGGAAGGTACGGTTGGGAGGTTCGATTGTTTGCTTGTCCGCTTGCTTGCTCGCTCAATTGTCTCTTCGGTTTCGGTCCGCTTTATATGTGCATCGTGTTTTTCGACGTCTCCACGATTACGCTTGATCGGCATGTACGGACCCATGATTGTTACCGGATATTACCATGGAGAAGGAACCGCCGTCGACAATCCATCCATCACCAACCAACCATGAATGCCAGCCGGAAACAACAAGCCACACCGACGAAGCAAGCAACACACCAACCACGGAACCATCGAGCAAAACGAGCAAGCAAGCAAGCAATCTGAACCACCACCACCACCAACCTATCCACTTCCTCCAACTCTCCTATACCAAAACCACCTGCTAACATACAATTTCCTACAGCTCGGTACCTTCGGCCGTGGCAAGAGAAAGGTCGAGGACATGCAGCGTGTCATCGCCGAGGCCCGCCGCACTGGCGCTCACTAAGCTTCCCATTTCTCTCTCCTCAAATATCTCCTGTTTCCAGTTTTCTCTCTCTCCTATTAGCCAAGAATGAGATAACGAAAACATCCCACACCCAACCTCAAAAAATGAAATGAAAGTGAAAGTGAGAAACAAGCAAAATCATGTTTCAATACATCCCTCTCTCTCTCTTCCTCCGAGTTGTAAATTAGCCCCTAGCCCCTAGGGCGCAATGCGTGGTGTGTGAGGGATTGGCTGGTAGGGGCGCTTGACTTCAATCTCAGTACTTCAGCCCCCCGGGCCTCTTTCACGAGTTTGTCTTGGAGGACTTGGGGGGAGTCTGGGGTTGATGGACAGGAAAACAAAAAGGGAATGAAATGAGAAAGGTTTAGAAAAACGGAGTTCAATACAATACCACTGCACTACTGGGATTTTTTCATGTTTCGGATTGGTTTGCTTGTTGATGATGTTTTGCTTTTGGTAGGTTTATTTGCTCGTACTTATACTGTAGATGTACTTCGTAAGGACCTTCACTACTACTTATATACTATCCGTTGGGAAATGAACGGAACTATGAGTTGGTATTAGACAGCCGTATGACTCTCATTTGTACGTTGCGTAGGTTGCTTGTTGACATCAATCATAACTATTTCGCTATCTATCTGCTACTATATCATTCATTTCTTGCCCGGCAACTTCAACCACTTAGGCATTCCGCCCGGTTTCCGCTTCTCGCCACGAGCCCCGTCTCCGGTGCTTGTCGGCTTCGGCCTGCTAACTTCTGAGTTATCTGTTACGTCCTTGGGCTGCTCGACCTTGAGTTCCTGCGCGCGTGTCCGCAGCTCCGGTTTTAAGAGTTCCTGGCTTTGCCGGGCGGCCGGGGATGCGTTCGCATCCCAGGTGAAGTTGACCAGCACACGGCCAACCATAGCTAGATCCTTGATCAGCAGCTGTTGGTCTGAGTCGGGGACAATGTTTTGAATGTTTCTCCCCGGCTGTCCTCCGCTAGATGTCTTGGGGAGGGAGGATGTAATGGTGAATTTCTCGCTGGCGAATGGCGCGGCAAGACAGTTTCGAACGAAGTCGTAGAGTGACTTGCCCGTATCTTCCTGTCCGAACTTGGCCACGACCTGGCTTTGGTCTGGTAGGCGCACTTTGACATCTACTTGTGTGACTGCGGCAAGTCGTTCCTCTTCTGCAGCTGCCTTGGCGGCGATTTCGGCGTCCGTTGGGAGCCGTTGGGGTCGGGAGGTTGCGTTCAGTCGTCGCTGATGTGCCTGTGCGTGTTCGATGGATGGGATGTAGTCGGTCTCGTTGTAGTTTGTTTGTGCGGACTGGGGTGTGGTGTTGGAGGGGGGAGAGAACACCGTTATGGGGCGGGAGAAACCAGTTGGTACCTCGGTGGGTTCTGCACCAGGCGCATCAGATGTAGGAGCAGTTGGTAGGGTTTGTTCAGTGGTCGAAGGTGCCTCGGATGTAGATGCGGGCTGTTGCCGTGCCTCCTCTTCTTTGTTGGATGTATCGGCCTGTGGTGGTTGCTCTGTAGGTGCAGGCGGCTCTTCGGCCTTGGGGGTCACGTCGTCGAACGGTTTGAAGTAGTCCTGAATTTTGACCATAGCCTCCTCCAAGGGTTCCTCTGTACGGCGAAAACTCAGCCGCAGCAGCACATTTCCGTTATTGAATCCCAGCTGTGCCAAAGACTTCTGCAGATCAGTAAACGAGGACAGTTCCCGTTCCATAATCTGAACGACCGGAGTTTCGTAGTAGAGTCTTCCTGCACCTTCATTGCCACTAGGGACACCTCGTCCAGTCAGATTCCGGGTCGAAGCACCTCCAGCAACCCCAGCCTCGAATTTGCGCAATACTAGCCATATTGTTGTCGTGCTGGGGAATTTATCCAAGAGTCGTCTGTTTGGGGGTGCCCCTCGTGCTTCTGATTCAGGCAGTTGTAGAGCGACGGTGACGACGGAGGGCGAACGGGAGAGCTGAACCAACTCCAGCTTTGCGCCGGAAGTGAGCCCAGAGAGGCGAAATACCAATGAAAGATCGAGCTCTTTACCTTTGTATCTTGACAAAAGCCGTCAGTCTTGTGAGCTTCGTAAGATGGGTGTAGTTGATGCTTACTTTAGTCCATGTTGGCTGGCATCCACACCTAGCTTTGTACAAGCTTCTTGTAGAACATCAGTTAGATGCTTCCCAGGTGTCGTCTTGATAGTAGCTCGTCGGGCTGTCGAGTCAAGAACCACGACATGAGAGCTCATGATTTGAGGGATTGGTGTTGCGGGGCGGGGAAGATGAGGTTGAGAATAGGACAGAGAATGGCCGTCAACTGGCTATTTTTGCAGCAGTGAGCGACTTTGTAATCAGCTTATCTATTCAAATCCAACTAACAAAAGTCTAGACCAGTAGAGTGAGAGAAGAGGATGGGGAGGGTGAGGGGAAATGGTTGTTCAAGGCGGAGGGAAATGATTGTAGGCAGCGGGCGCAAGCGTCATCGGCAGAAGCTCGGCGGCTCCACGCGTTGCTGGCAGAGCTTCAATCACTCCTCCATCCATCCATCCTCCGCCCATCTTCCATCTCCCATCGCCTCAACCCTCCCTCTACACGCTCACATCTCCCTTCATCCCTTGGAGCTTGACCCGGAAATTCATAATCGATCTTATTTCGAGCTTCTAGTTGTGCAATTCTTTGTTAACCATGGTATGTGTGCTGCGTGACCCTCACCTCGTCCTCGAACGAACCTAGCTGACAGACCTCCTCCACAGAGTTCCCCTTTCGATATCAGTATGTAATAGCTTCGCACAGCTTACCATCATAGCTACTAACTCTTGGACGAACAGATGGCGGTGCCTGCGTCGCCATGGTGGGCAAGGACTGCGTCGCAATCGCCTGTGATCTCCGGTTGGGTATGCAGGCCCTGACTGTCTCCAACAACTTCCCCAAGATCTTCAACTACGGCCCCTCTACCTTCCTCGGTCTGACTGGTCTGGCTACCGACGTGTCAACTGTGTCCGACCTCTTCCGGTACAAGGTCAACATGTACCGCCTCCGCGAGGAACGGAACATTGCCCCCCAGACTCTCGCCAACCTGGTCAGTTCGTCGTTATACGAGAAGCGGTTCGGACCTTTCTTCGTCAGCCCCGTCATTGCCGGAATCAACAGCACAACGGGGAAGCCTTTCATCTGCGGATTTGACAGTATCGGGTGTATCGATTTTGCGAAGGACTTCATTGTTAGCGGAACTGCCAGTGAGCAGCTCTTTGGTACCTGCGAGGGTCTGTGGGAGCCGAACTTGGTAAGACTCCTCCCTCGTGAAAAGAGAAATGAAGGTGGTGATGTTGAGTCTGTACTAACACCATGGTGTAGTCTCCCGAGGACCTGTTCGAGACCATCTCGCAAGCCTTGCTCAGCGCCGTCGATCGAGACGCCCTTTCCGGTTGGGGTGCACAGGTGTATATCATAGAAAAGGACAAGGTCACCAAGCGCCTACTTAAGGGAAGGCAAGATTAGATGGCATTCTCTGGAGTATAATTGTTTTCTAATGTCACGCCGTTCGTCTGTTTAATTTACGTCCCTCAACATGGAATCTTGCTGTTGATAGCAGTCTCTGGCGCCAAATGTCTCGACTCAAAGATACGTGCTGTCGATAGAGATTGACCAAACAGAAAATGAGTATTATGAACTATGATCAAGCCCTGGATAGCCATGCTTGGGGTCTAGACTTGCCGCCTAATACATAATAGGCCGAGTGAAGGGTACGAGCTACCATGTGTTTTACACCCATCGGCTCCTACCTTCGATGTCTGGCCCGTTGTTTGATTAATAATTATAATGGGCTTGAGTAATACGACGTAGTTCTCATCACAACAGTAAGAAGGGTTTCTTTGGCTTATTACGCAGGTAGTAGGCATCTACATACCGACGGCAGATCAGTCTTCACACCCTCGCATGCTGCAAAGCACACCCCCCCCGGGGCCAATACCTTGATTCGAATCAGTGCTTCGAGATCTAGTTTTTGGGTCTATTTTTCAGTTTACATTTGCCGGTTTCCCACCAAGGGCCGCATGACGGGGATAGCTGCTGTACGCTTTAAGGAAGTTTTATGCCGTGGGTTACCCGGCCCGTAGATTCGTAACCCTTCCGGTACAGTGGAGACCTCATACGTACAATGTGAATGCCCGGATGGCACAGTTGCATAATGGCATCTGCCACCCCGGTCGAGGCCTCGCCGTCCGTGCATATCTGGGGAGGATGATAGAGGTTAATTGGGAAGCCAACTGATGGGAGAAACAGGAACAGAACAGGTTAGTTGGTAAGGATGATTGCAGGATGAAGATATGATGCAGAAGTCGTAGGAACCGATCGGGTTGCAAACGAGGAAGAGTCTGGGTAGAGTCTGGGTCGGGAGGTCTCCCGGTGACAGTTAAGAGCCAGTGAGAAGGCGTGGTGACGATGTTGACGGTCGTCACTCATCAGACGAAGGAGGGTCTTCTACCTCCGTAGGCATCTTCATCCATGGATCCTTTCCCACTGCTGGCGAGGTACCAGGTGCAACCCACGAATGCTGAAACTGGGAAATTTGTCCCGGAGCAAAGTGAGAATAATTTATTCCTTAGCCAGAGTGTGCAGTAGTGTAAGTTTAGTAGGCAGGCATGCAGAGATAGCCACGGGGTCCAAACCGGTGCTGACCTCCCCCCGGCCGATCGCAACCTTGAATCCCCTTTTTCCCCATTTTGTGTGATCCTTCAGTCATCCTTGACTTGGGATTCCCCAGAACCTTTTTCGCAAAGCCGGGACAAGTTAGAGTCTCGAAAGCCAGCGAGAGCCTGGTGAAGGGGAGGTCCAAAACTTGCCAGCATCTCGCTCCGTTTCAGCCTCCCCGCGTCTAGACCTGGCGATCGGCCCAAGTTGGCCCCATCGATTTCTCAGGCTCGCTTCTTTCCCCTCCTCATCGTCCCATTCCTGGTCGCTCCATCTCATCCCGGCCTGGATTCTCTATCTCGCATTCCGTCACTCTTCCTTCCTCCTCTTCCCTCCCACCCCATCCCGTCTCCATCTCTCGATCACCATCCGCCCGTTCACCGGTTGGTCTGTGCCATTAATCTCTGCCCCAGAATTTGACTCGGCCAGTCGTCGAGGGAACGCTTCTCAACCATCGCGATAAGAAATCGAAAGACGGATCGATCTTCAGGGGTTTTCAGGAACGGGAAAAGGAAACCCGAACAATATAGCTGAATCCGAAGCATCCAGCGAATCACCTACAGATTCTTTCCCAGCGGAGAGAAAAAGCGGAAAAAAGGGAGATTTCTCCCCCCAAAGCAACAGAACCTCTCGGTCTTCTATTGACCAGCTTGCACCCTAATATCCTTCGAGTCATTCATTTTGATCCTATCGGAGGATAATATAATTTTCAAGGCCGGTGCCTGCTCTTTTGCAGAGCATCCCCCGCGGTGTAGCTCAGCGTGGGCTTCATCTTTTCTATCGACCCCAAAGTGATGTATGTATTGAAGAGCCAGAGCCATCTAGGACGGGCATTGTGCTTGGTAGCCTCCTTCTATCCCTACTACACACCCTGCTGGCATGAACATAGCTAACGAGGGCTCCTGTTTGACTGACCGTACAGACCGAAAGCCATGCGCTGTGCCCCTTCCAACAATCTGGGTCTTGATTCATTGATATCTTATCAATCCCCCTCGGTAACCTGGCGACCTCCCATATTATCATCCAGCGCTGTATCTCCGCCTTAGATTTGGTCTTCAACAGCAAATCGAGGGAACTGCAGTGCACCCACCATTCGGCACATCATGCCCGATTCCGCGGAGTCAGAATGGTCTAAATCCTTTGCATCCGGCCCAACCATGTCGTTACTTCCGTGCAAATCCCAGGTTCTTCCGGGCGATGCGTCCGCATCTACTTTGCGCGAGGACGATGCGCAGGCCGACTCGTCCGGTCGCAGATATATCGGAGCGCCTCAGAACGTGGCAATCGACCGGCTGGTGAAATTGAAGCAGGATCTTCGAACCCTCGGATCGGAAAGGTTTTGGAATCATCTCATGGAGAATATCAGTTCGATCTGTGACGCTCAGTACGTGTTTGTTGCTCGCAAGGCCCGGGAGGACGAGTCGGTCAACGAAATACGAGGCCACAAGCCATATTTATTCGGCTCGGCATTCTATTACAATGATGGATACGAAACTGCAGGCATGCATCGCCACAGATACTTTGCTGGCGGGAATCCCCTGTCCCATATGGATCACGAAAAGCCCTGTTTGATCCCGGAGAATTTGGGCTCCTACATATCGTTCGATCAAGATCAGCTGCCGTTCGCTGCAGAAGGCTATCTGGCTGTCCCCCTGTTCTCGGAAACCAAATGTCTCGCATACCTTGGTCTGATGTGGTCGGAGTCCGGATTGAAGAAGCGCAACCTTTCGTGGTCGTTTCTCGAAATGATACTGTATTCTTTGGAAGATCTGGTCGTCCAGCACATCCGTGACGACCTTGAAGCGGCAAACACACAGCAGGCGAGCAACAGCAAGGCGAGAAGTATGTCTGCCAGCCACGCGATTGTCGAGGATGCACACATCAGCATCCCTCATGGATTAGCCGACTTTGCCTCTCACCCATTGAAGCCTTATGCCCGGAGTTTGTCACATGAACTCCGCACGCCGATGCAGGGTGTTGTCGGGATGCTAGATGTCATGCATGCCACAGTTCGCGAAGCTATCCAGGACAAACCATCTCCGAAAGCGGGGTTCGTTTTCCGCACACTCAAGGAGAGTATCGAAATGGTTCAAGGTTCGTGTTTCGTCCATTCTTAGATCCCCTTTTCCGAATGCTGACTCGCATTTTTTCATCTTTACAGATAGCGCGAGACGAGCGGTCGAAGCAGCAGACAACGTGGTCCACGCCTACGACCTGAACATGCAAGTCCCCAAGACTCCTCAACTCGAAAGAGACGATTGTTTTGGTGGACCCGTCCAAACACCATTGAGCACATGCGACAGCCGGCCAAGTGTCTTCGTCGAAGGAAGCAACATCACGGTTAATCCGTACAAACGACGACGGAGTAATCCGCCAGAATGGAACATCGGCACAACGCCAAAACAGAAGGTCCCACGCGTCGTGTCGCCAAAGGGACTTTCTCCCCGTAGCGAGGAAGTCAAAAACGCCGTCCACGAAAGCGAGAAGTTGATGAAAGCCGCCCCTGCTCATCAGATAGAAGCAGTAATGGCCAACATGGTCAATCCCCGACCATCGCTGGCAGTTCGCCGCTCGGCACCGCATCTCTTGTTGGAGGGCATTAACGTCAATGTTGTCCCCGCGCTGAGGTTCACCAAGCTTCGCGATCTGCTCCGTCTAGTGATCAATGAATCCTTGCATGTTGGTGGTCGGCCTGACTTTGCTGTGAGCAATGCGACCGACACGGGGGAGAAGATTGAGATTCGGTCACGCTCATCAAACGGTGAAGTATTTTCCAAAACCATCAATTGGTCAGTCGATCCCGCGCTACCGGATACACTATTTGTGGATGATCGCGACCTGGCCAAGTTGATTTCGTGCGTTTTCCTCAATGCGGTCAAGTTCACCAATAGCGGTGTGATAACCGTGTGTGCCACCGTTGGCCGCAAGACCAACGATGTCTTGATCGCTGTGAGGGACACTGGACCTGGAATTCCAGAAGCATTCTTGCCTAAACTCTTCAAGCCGTTTGCTCGGGAAGACACATCTACCACTCGGAGTAAGGATGGGCTAGGACTGGGTCTCCTTGTAGCCAAGGGTCTGGCCAGGAAAATGGGCGGCGACCTCACCTGCGTTCGCTCCTGCACCACCGGTCCCGACCATGGCTCCGAGTTTGAGATCAGAATTCCGGCCAACCAGCCCGATCCGACATTGGCTCCTCCGAACAAGCTGTTGACACCGCCGCAGCTCTGCGATCCTTCGCGCATGACCAGTGCGAGCACCTCGACGGTAGAATCGTCGTTGCTGTCGCCCGCGCTGCGAACACCGAGTCAGCCGATCCAGCAGCCGTCACCTAGTTTGACTGAGGAATCGTCTGTGACGTTGACCCCTGCGCGTTCGGTTCCCCATTGCAAGTCAATGCCACGCCACATTAATGGTGACACTCATGACAGTAAACTTGGTGAAAAGCATCCACTCACCTTCCTCGTTGCCGAGGACAACAAGATCAATCGGCGTGTGTTGGTTCATATGCTGAAGCGCCTTGGCTATAGCGACATCTACGAAGCTTGTAATGGAAAGGAAGCGGTCCGCATCATGCAGGAGGTTCTGGTCGCCCAAAGCACAGCAGAAGGCCCCTCTCCCAAGCTCGAGAGCACGGCGGACGGGTTTCCGATCCCCAATCCTCCGAATCATCGCAAGAAGATGAAACCGGTGGACGTTGTGTTGATGGACCTGTGGATGCCAGAAATGGACGGATACGAAGCCACGTCCAAAATCCTTCAGCTAATAGATGAATACCACGGTCAAATCCCCCCTAATTGTCGGCCTGAGCAGCAGCATCCGCCTCCCATAGCGACGCCTGCAGCCCATCAGCCTGTGGCGCCGACGGTCCTTGCCGTCAGCGCTGATGTCACCGACGAGGCACTCAGCCGCGCCTCGAAAGTGGGCATGAAGGGCTATATGACCAAGCCGTACAAGCTCTCGGATCTCGAGCGATTGATCCTAGGGTTTTGCAGTGATGCCACGACCCCTGCCGCCAGACAACCCGACGACTCGACGATGAATACATGACATAGATACATACTCCGGTCTTTTCAGTTATTGATTCCCACCCCCCGCTTTATACCTCATTTTGTCTTTCTTTTCTGTTGTTGTCTGCCATTGAATCTTGATTGGATCTGGTACCACAGCATGGGCGCTGTTTCTACTGCAGGGAGCAGCTGCATTAATGTTAGAAGAATAATTTTTTTAGTGCTGATGTATTTACGAGCGATCTTCTGCATCCTTTATGATCAAATGATGACTGGGGGCAAAGATGGAAACGCACACGTTTCGTCCAACTTGAAAGAATGCAATGATTTTTGGATGGTCCAACACTTGAATGAATGCTAGATAGATAAATCTCGCTGTTACTATCTATACAACCTTTCCCTCCAATAAGCACTAACTTAGTAGACCCGAGCCACTTACAGTAGCGAAAGAGAAGACAAATCATCCTTTGGGTTGACATAGCCGAGAATACTTAGTATGCACACTAAACATCTTTTCATAGTAGCCAAGAAACCCTAGAAAACTCCACGACAATCGGGCATTGCTGTCTACATCTTTGATTGTAAGTTGGTATAACTGTCACCACAAGTGCCGCGTATTATATTCTGTGTTCGAGGAGGCAGTGTTGCGATGGCTCTAGTAGTTTTGTTGTAGGACTACCTCCAGGAACTAGCATATTTGTTGGGTTGGTATAGTACACTGCTCTGCTACTATGCCTCGGAAAGCATAGGCTGTGGGCTGCAGCAGAGCAGATGCAACAGAGGGGGGGGGGGGGGGTCTTTGGGTTATCTTCTGGTGGTTGGGACCAGGATCAATCTAATAGGAGTTGTTGCTACGATGAGATGAATGGATCGGGTAGCGGCATGAAGGAGAAGAGTTGGTCGATTGGCTTAGACTGCTGTGGGAGATTGAGCATAGCCATGAACTCTATATCTATACTCTTAGTGCTGAGTTGCTTGCACGTGGCTTGTATTGAATTAGGAAAGTTCTCAGGCATACTTCAGTTACTAGAAGTATGACAGTGATGGGTTTGCTGGTTGAGGAATCCAGTTCTGATAGAACAAGTGATATTAGAGAGCATGATCCATACTAGCAAGGAATTAGGGAAATGTCTACCATCATATATGCCATGTTAATCCAGTAAGTATTATTGGTCCTTCTAATTGATGTAATTGTATGGAGAGTAGTATCGGCTGCTGTCGTATCTTCTGTGACTACTGTGATGCATTGGATTCCCTTGAACACCTGGTTTCCGTATAGTGGACAAGCAAGATGCTGAGAAATTCTTGGGACTACAATACCGGTCATCTTCATATCAAGCATCCCAAAAAATATGTGTCGGCAGAACGATAGAGGCAGGGGAGTGAAGCAGATATCGCAAGGTTTCCTTGAAGTAGTAGCAGCAGAACCACATACATGCATTTTACATTCACTCATCAAACTCACACAAGAGAGAAATAATAATCGCTAAACAACCGATCATAGCTAGCTAGGTAGTAGTTTATTGTAAGTACAACCAGGTACCTCTCACTCATTCCTTTTGGCCTATTTTCTTCAACTTGTACTCCCCCGATCTCGAACAAAGAAAAAGAAAAGTAAGTCCCCCGTTTATGTCAACTTCTGCTTGATGAAGAACGACCGCAGATGCGAAAGCTGCCAAGCACATGCCACCGACAGCACAGCCAGCTGGATGAGAGTCCACCGAACCACGCGGGAGTTGGTGGCCTCAGACTGGTCGCGGAATTCAGCTTCACGTTCCTGTTTAGATACATTGTTAGTAAGTCATTGATCATACTGCCCAAAACATCATCCCCGTGGTGGGAAACATACCCGCTGGAACACCTGCTCCCTACGAATATCCTGCAACCGGCCGTTCAGATCCTTCACCTTCTGCACAATATCCTGCATCTTGTCCTTGTCTTCCGTCTCGATCTTGCTGGTCTCACCGATGGCCATGTCCAGAGTGACCTGGACGGCACCGGACGGGGCGCCCGACAGCCAGCCGCCGCCAGTTGCGGCGTTGGTCTCGGGAGTCACACAGATCTTGTGCAGGCCGGCGTCGGCAGCGGAGAAGGTAAAGCGACCAGAGTGGCTGTCACGCTTGGAGACGACGCGGTGGTCGTTGTCGAAGATCTCGTCGACGGTGACGAGCATCTTAAGGTTAGGGTCCACATTGTAGGTGTTGGATTGTTGGTTGATCACGGCGGTAGAGTAGGTACCTTTATCATACCCATATCGCATTAGTATTGAGTAGTGAATAAAATGGGTAAGCAGATAGTGAGTAGCATACCGACAACCAGGGTATCCTTAGGGAGCTCCTCAAAGAAGCACTTTGTTTGGCGGCCGTCCATGTAGAAGTAGAGGGCGTTGGCGGGCACCGAGAGGCACAGGATGGCACAGACGGCCATCAAGGAGGACAGCCATGAGGCGGAGGATCTTACCGGAGCCATGATGCAGTTGAATGGGAGAAATTGGCGGAGGGGGAAAGAAACAACAGAGGGAGGGAGATGATGAGAACAGTTGGCGATGAAGCGATTGCCTCGATCTGGCCGGATCCCGTCTTGGCGCGAATTCTCATGGCTTTTGCTTCTCCGCCTTCATCTTCCCTTCCATCTCCTCCCCTCTTCCCTTCTCGCTCCTCGATCATCATCATTGCTGCATTGCTATTTTCTTGTTGGTTTCATTGAAAAATTACATACATCGCACTTCGTCACCCCTTGGAATTCGCTCAGCCCTTAAACCCCCACAGGTGCCTCCGCCATGGCCGCCGCCGATGTTCGCGACATGCTGGATCTGCCCGCGGAGGGCCAGCCCCGACCTCATAAGAAACAGAAGGTCGTCGAGAAGCGTCCAGGTGAGCTTCTCTCGGTTCCCTTACTCACCTAAAACTATTCTGACATATTCCCAACGCTAGAGGGTATTACCCGTGAGCTCTATGCTCTGCTAGGTGAACGAGCACCTCCGATCGCCATCAACGAGAACCGCTACAAGGGACGCCCGAAATGGACGAGCAAAAAGCGCGTCCAGCCATGGTACGCACACACCACCATATATCTACTGCTCTCCGATACCGAATACTGACTCCATCAGGCGCATGACCCCCTTCATCAACAGCGCCCGCTCCGACGGCCTCGTTCTCCGCCACTGGCAGCGCCAGCATGAATCCGCCAAGGTCCCCGCGCTGGAGGGCTCCGAGATGGACGTGGACGAGAAGAAAGAAGACAACGCCGATGCCTCAACCTCCGACAATGTACCACAGCAAGACTCCGTATTCGCCAAATACAACATCAAAGCCCGCGTACCCAACCGCTACACAGACGAGGAATACAACCGCCATCTCAAGAACGACGACTGGACGCGCCAGGAGACCGACTACCTCATGGACCTAGTTGAAGAGTACGACCTCCGCTGGGTCGTAATCGCCGACCGCTACGACTATCAACCGCACTCCGTCGACGGCGACTCCAACAACACCAGCGCCCTTGTCCCCGCAAAGCAATACCGAACCATGGAGCAGATGAAATCGCGCTACTACTTCATTGCCGCAAGCATGCTCGCACTCGAACACCCACCCTCTGAGATGTCCGAAGCCGAATTTGAACTACACGAGAAGATGCTCAAATTCGACGCCGACCGTGAACGCTCCCGCAAAGAACTCGCCGCCCTCCAACTCAACCGCACAGCCGACGAAGTCCGCGAAGAAAGCGTCCTCCTCGAAGAACTCAAACGCATCACCGCCAACGAACAAGACTTCATCACCGAGCGTCGTGAACTTTACTCCCGCCTCGAAGTTCCCATCAGCGTCGGCAACACAACTATGTACCAATCCAGCCAAGGCCTTTCTCAACTCCTCCAAACCCTCCTCCAAGCCGACAAGAGCAAGAAACGCCGCTCCATCCTGGGCCCCGAAGGTGGCGCCGCTCCCAGTCCCGCCGGCGCAACCCCTGCCCCCAATGCCCCCAGCAGCGCCCGCGACAGCCGCGCCGACACCCCGAACGCAACCCCGGCCGCCGCCCCAACCAACAAAAAGGCCGCCGCGGCAGCTGCAGCCGCAGCCGCAGCAGCGAACAAGGAAGTGCAGCAACAAGCCGTTCGGACTCTCACCCCCGCCGAAGAAGCCAGATACGGCGTACAACACCACGACCGACTGGCACCAGGCGTGCAATTCCGCAGTGACCGCGCACAGAAGCTTACGCAAGCGAAATCGAATGTGCAGACGCAGAAACTCGCTGCCGCGCTGGCGGAACTGGAGGTACCGCTGCGGCTTGTCATGCCGACGGAGCGCGTCTGCAGGGATTTTGAGAAGTTGATTCACTCGGTGAATTTGCTGTTGGAGGCGCGGAAGGTGTCGGAGAAGGTGGAGAGTGAGATTCGGGTCTTGGAGGCTGCGAAGGAGGAACGTGAGAAGAAGGCAAAGGAGGCGCTAGAGAAGGATGGTAAGCCTGAAGTTAAGTCGGAGCAGCAGGAGGATCAGCCGCTTCCTGCGGCGGCGGAGGAGAGTGCTGGGGATACGGAGGGGCAGGAGAAGGGTGCGACGGATGAATCGGGGGAGAAGGCAGGAGGTGCTGGTGCTGGTGAGGAGGGAGATGGGCCTTCACATAAACGCTCTGCTAGTGTGCTGAGCAATGCTAGTGATAAGAGTACCAAGCGGCAACGGAAGTAAAAGAGAATTGATGTTATGGGCGTTGGAGAATGGGCGGCGTTTTTGGTGTTTCGATATACCTATGTACGACTACATGAAGCTTGGGCTTGACAATCACTGGTTTTAATGCGATTATTTCATCGATGTAATACATTCAATATTAATCGTTTCCCCATCTTTTTACTGATACAGTGGGCCTTTCTCATCTTAGAGATGATAGCCAGTTACCGATATGATTTGAGTGCCAATATTGACTGTCCAGTAACAGCTGGTTTCTAGAAGTGAAGAGGCAGCGTCAGATGCATCAAGTGTTACATTGATAATAGTCGTTGTAACAACTTGCCAGTGCGGTTTGTGCACCGACGGCCTCAAAAATATACTATGTGATAAGTGGCCAAAGCGCTGGTAGCTACCCAAGCATTTCTTGGTAGTCCTGGTAGGTACTTTTCCAGTCGTCTGGGATCGACTCTGACCCGGTTTTGTCAGAAGAATTATGCCGATCCTTTTTTGTATTATGGGTGCCTGTCTGGACGGTCTGCTGGTCGTGTTCTTGTCCCTCGTGCTGGAAATCATCTGAGCCGGCTGTTTCATGCAAGTCCTCGGCGGAGACAATAGGGACATCGTCATCGGCACTTTTAGCCCTATTTCTACGGTCGAGGACCTTGAATTTGAGAATGCGACCCTCCTTTCTCCGCGCCACGGGGTATCTTCCAGCTGGAGTGGTCATTGTCGCAGTCGAGTTGGCTTCAAAGCCGCGCGTAATCGCTGACACACTGCGACCCTTCAACAAACTCCCTGTACGTCGCAACGTCGCCCATCTACCCAAAGGTCGCCCCTCAGTACTTCTGGTAGAGACTGGCGAGCTTTTTTGTTCACTCTGTTGTTCGCTCGCAGGCTGGTTTGGATCAACCCAAGAGCAGAAGTCCCAGGGATTTTTTGTATCAACTGCAGCGGGATCGAGCTGCTCCTTCTTACGCTTGGAGAATTTCTCCAGCACTGAGGACTTGAGCTGTTCACCCAAGCCTTCACTAAATGCACTAGAGAAGCTGCGAAGACGTATGCGACTCACAACGCTCGATAGCTCGAAGCTGGAATTCCCGGCCTTAGGAGATATTTTTTTGTTTTGTCCTATAGTCTCCTTCCCAAAGGGCCTTGATGATCCACCTGCAAGATCCACGCCTACGGCTTTCACTCCTGGGACACTGGACCCAATGTAATTGGGCTTACCTGGAGGTTCATCGGCTCCGTCAATTGCAGGTACCAGAGCGTATCCGTATCCAAGTCGCCGGCCTCCTGACATCCATCCAACGCTCACCTTGCGAGGCGGTGCAAGGTCCGCATCCGCGTCGTTATGGCCATGTGCAGGAGAGCTGAGTGAACGGGCTGATTCGAATCTCTCGGCGAACATGTTTTTCTGTGCTTCAGCTTTATCTGCAGCCTGGTCTGCAATGGGAGCATAACGAGCATTCACCAGTGACGACTCCAATGATCGAGGGGAACAACTGAAAGAAGCGATGGGTTCATGAGGTTGTTTAGTATTGGCCTGACTCTGTATTCGTCTATCTATAGAGCCGACTCGATCATCTGTAGATGACAGGCTGGTCTTCTGAGAATAGCACGAGGACGCCTGGTTCACTGGTCCCCTAGGTCTTGGTCCTGTTGCGTAGGTATCCGGTGCCTTTCCTGCTCCAAACCCAGAAAAGTCGTGAAATGGCTGGGATGCGTTCCACGTCCCGGCAGTGCTGGTCCACCGATTCTCATCGAACGACTGTTTCGGTGATAGCATACGAGGAGACGTTGAGCGAGATGCCAAGGTCGTCGGGATATTTAAATCACCAGGGTGAACTGAGCAATTGTCTGGTACAGGGCCTGCGGGGGGCTGCCGGCGTCGTTTCCTGACAGAGATCTGTGAAGATGGCCCAACCAAAGAGTCGGCAGACGTGGCATACGAGAATGGCACAGGAGACACCGGAGTCGAATAACCCGAGTCATGTATACCAGGATCAGGTGAAGCCATTCGAAGTGGAGGCCGGTATCCGTGTTGTTTTGGATACACAGGTCCATTTCTCATCTTGCCCTGAATTGGACTGCCCGCCATACCTCTTTGAGGCCTTGCAACCCTGACTCGACGGCTCCCATCATCTGTGCCGTGGAAGGCAGAGGAGCCTTGAGACAATTGGGTCATGCAAGACACCTGTCTCTTCGAACGCAGAGCAGATTGTGACTCTTCCCTTATAGTAGGGTCCGCACATGGTGCACTCTCTAGGTCTTCGAACTCTGGACTATGAGCCTGCAAATATGGCAACCCCTGTCCCATCTCGCGCCTCAAGGGGGAGACAGCAGCCTCCTCAAGAATGCGTGGACTACAAGGATGGTCTCTGGTGTGGCTTATCTGCTTGGGGGTGCCTATGAACTGCGCGTCGCTGTCATATCCCCTTTCGCTCATGAAGCTGCTCCCAATCTCGTCGGGAGTAGCTACTCTTTCACCAGGACTGGCAAATCTGGAAGAGAATGGAAATGCTGGGGAGCCAGACTTTCTGCGATCATTTTTTGGCTTCACGCGCTGGTCTCTGGCTTCTCGAGAGAAACGTCTACGGAGTCTATCGGGCAGGCCACCGGAGGAGCGTCTGGGATGACCGGGGCGTGCGACATCGTGCCTGTCCTTGGAATACCCTAGCAGGGTCAGCAGTGCCCTTGTCACTCGAGCGGACTCGTGGCTCACCATCCGAATCGCCATCTGGTGCTGGTTTAGCGGAGTTCAATTTGTAGGAGTGTCTTGTGTCCGAGTCTGAGCCTTTCCAGTATTTTCTGAACCGGGGACAGATGAGGAAGAACGCCATCGGGACAAGATTATTATCTCAAGGTGAATGATAATGCCCATGTCAACAAGTCCATGGGTTTGCGTTGTTTATCCATGGTGGGCAGTCCGTCCAGATGGAGCTTTCTGCGCAACTTCCTCCTTCAAGCTTATGCAACATACAGGAATGGAAGCTGCGACTACATGGAGAGGAGCAGCTGCGTTATTAATAAAGCTCTACGGTTCTCAACCAGAACATCGAATTTTGCGAGCATTGTGGTCGACACCTGATCTACGGGGGGCATTCGAACTGTATCTATAGCATGCTCTGCGGTAACTGTTCGTCGGCCAGCTGAGCTTCCCCAGACCTGCATGCATGCAAGATACTCCGCATCCCGAAAGGAACTCCGAACACCATGTTCAAAAGCCGAGTACTTCAGAACCAGAACTAGAGACACGTTTCAAAGCATTGTGACTCGACAAAAACTTCGGGTTAATTTTCGAATGAGTCACTAGTAGAATACTGTCGTAGTACTCGGTGAATTGAGACGGATCCCGAGTATCGGGGGAGGAAGAGTGATTCTGGCTCTTTCCATAACGAAGATGAAATCAATCTAACGACATTCATCAGCTAGTTATTTTCTACTGCGTACTGCGTATCTTGACCCATGGACTGTGGCAAGCTCTAGCGCCGAATGGCAGATCTCACCTCAGATTTGGGTAATTGCCCACTCTGATAGGCCCATTGGCCACCTCGTGCAGCATGCTGGGAGTCAGCCGATGCGGCCAATGGGTCTCAGCGCAGATCCATTTTGCAGGTCCGAATCGGCTCCATCGCGGACAGAAGCCAGTCTCGACTGTATGGGCAGCAGAAGAAGAGTTGGAACTGCGTAGGTAATGGGCGTGGCTAACCAGCTCGTATCAGCCTGGCAACCCACCAGCCAGAACCTTAATGGGGGCCGATCCCGGAAGGCAGGCAGAGGTGGTCCGAGGGATACTCCGGACTTTTCCACGGCGCTGACTGGCCCGTTTATCCAATACTTAATCACGCCATTTAGCACTATGTTCGGGATGGGTTTAGTTCTGGCCCCTCCCAACGGACGGGTTACTAAAATTTTCAAGGATGACACATACCTCAAAAACCGGAGGACATTGGACTTGTTTGGGTCCGGAGGGTCAGGAACTTAGTGGTAATTGGGAAAGGGGCTCAAGTGTAGATAGCTGGGGGAGGAGGGAGGGGAGGCATTGGAGAGGAGAGCGACAACGAAGAGAATGAGTGCAGATACTCACAGAATGGCGAAAACCTTCCCTTCCATTCCTTACTGTATACATACCACTTGAGAGGCGGGACTATCTTACCTTACCAAACAGGCACATGTAAGTATGCCTGATCTGAAGTCTGGAACACGGTCAGGTTTCCAGGTACTGGTGCCGTATCCATGGTATTTTTGGTATCAACCCAAACCCCTCGCCCCACTCCCTCCCCTCCTCCGTCTGCTTATAACAACTCCCCTCCATCCTCTTCTTCCCTCTCTTTCTTCTCTTCTTTCTCTCTCCATCCCTCCCCCTTGTTTCTCTCTTCACCCTTTTTCTCAGCAAGAGACTATTGTATAGTCCTTGACTGTCTTCTCTGTCTTCTTTTTCATCCAATTTCTCATCTATTTTCCCTCCATTAAACTCTACCTTTCTCTCTCTCACTTCTACACACATATCTTTCAAGATGGTCCAATCGTAAGTTTTCACCTTCTGCCTTCATCAGAAATTCTCAATGCTAATGGCATCTGCTTTAGCTCCGTCTTGGGTTTCCCTCGTATGGGAAAGCTCCGTGACCTCAAGAAGGCCACTGAGGCTTACTGGGGTGACAAGATCTCTCGTGATGAGCTCTTGGCTGAGGGAAAGAGACTCCGTCTGGAGCACTGGAAGCTCCAGAAGGATGCTGGTGTTGATGTGATCCCCAGCAACGACTTTGCTTTCTACGACCAGGTCCTCGACCACATCCAGCTCTTCGGTGTATGTATCCTCGCTCTGATACTTTTCAATTACCTCATTCGCTAACGTTCTCCTCCAATAGGTCATCCCCGAGCGCTACAGCAAGTACAACCTCCACCCCCTTGACGAGTACTTCGCCATGGGTCGTGGTCTTCAGAAGCCCGCCAAGGATGGTCAGGCCGCCATTGATGTCCCCAGTCTGGAGATGGTCAAGTGGTTTGACTCCAACTACCACTACGTCAAGCCTACCCTCCAGGACAACCAGACCTTCAAGCTGGCTGAGCAGCCCAAGCCTGTCGCTCAGTTCCTTGAGGCCAAGGAGGCTGGCGTTGTCACTCGCCCCGTCATCCTGGGTCCCGTCTCTTTCCTGACCCTCGCCAAGGCTGACCGTGGTCAGTCCGTTGACCCCATCACCAAGATTGAGGAGCTCCTCCCCGTCTACGTTGAGCTGCTCCAGAAGCTCAAGGAGGCTGGTGCTGAGGAGGTTCAGATCGATGAGCCCGTCCTCGTCTTCGACCTCCCCGCCAAGTCCAAGGCTGCTTTCAAGCCCGCCTACGAGAAGCTCGGTGCCCTTGGCGCCCAGGCTCCCCGTCTGGTCCTTGCCACCTACTTCGGTGACATTGTCCACAACCTTGATGTCTTCCCTGCCCTCCAGAGCCTCCACGGTATCCACATTGACCTCGTCCGCAACCCTGAGCAGCTCGACGCTGTTGTTGCTGCCCTTGGCCCTAAGCAGATTCTGTCTGCTGGTGTTGTTGACGGTCGTAACATCTGGAAGACCAACTTCAAGGCTGCCATCGAGAAGGTCGAGCTGGCCATCCAGAAGCTCGGCAAGGAGCGCGTTGTTGTTGCCACCTCCAGCTCCCTCCTCCACGTTCCCCACACTCTCGAGAGCGAGAAGACCCTGGACCCTGAGGTCCGCGACTGGTTCAGCTTTGCTGTGCAGAAGCTTGACGAAGTTGTTGTGATCGCCAAGGCCGTCACTGAGGGCCCCGCTGCTGTCCGTGAGCAGCTCGAGGTTAACGCCAAGTCTGTCCAGGCTCGTGCTTCCTCCAAGCGCACCAACGACCCCAAGGTCAAGGAGCGCCAGGCTGCCGTCACTGAGGAGCAGCACAACCGCCAGTCTCCTTTCTCCGCCCGTATTGCCGAGCAGAGCAAGTCCATCAACCTCCCTCTCTTCCCTACCACCACCATCGGATCCTTCCCCCAGACCAAGGAGATCCGTATCCAGCGCAACAAGTTCACCAAGGGTGAGATCACTGCCCAGGAGTACGAGAAGTTCATCGAGAAGGAGATCGAGGAGGTCGTCAAGATCCAGGAGGAGCTCGACCTGGACGTTCTCGTCCACGGTGAGCCCGAGCGTAACGACATGGTCCAGTACTTCGGTGAGCGTCTCACTGGTTACGTTTTCACCACCCACGCCTGGGTTCAGTCTTACGGCTCCCGTTGCGTGCGTCCCCCGATCATTGTCGGTGACATCTCTCGTCCCGCTCCCATGACCGTCAAGGAGTCCAAGTACGCTGTCTCGATCTCCAAGAAGCCCATGAAGGGTATGCTTACCGGCCCCATCACTTGCTTGCGCTGGTCTTTCCCTCGTGACGATGTCCACCAGTCCGTCCAGGCTCAGCAGCTCGCTCTCGCTCTGCGTGACGAGGTTGTTGACCTCGAGACTGCCGGCGTCAAGGTCATCCAGGTCGACGAGCCCGCTCTTCGTGAGGGTCTCCCCCTCCGTGCTGGCAAGGAGCGTGAGGAGTACCTCAAGTGGGCCGTCCGTGCCTTCCGCCTGGCCACCTCTGGTGTCACCGACGGTACTCAGATCCACTCTCACTTCTGTTACTCTGAGTTCCAGGACTTCTTCCACGCCATCGCTGCGCTGGATGCCGATGTTCTGAGCATTGAGAACAGCAAGTCGGATGCCAAGCTGCTCAAGGTCTTCATCGACGAGGCCTACCCCCGTCACATTGGACCTGGTGTCTACGACATCCACTCTCCCCGTGTTCCCAGCGAGCAGGAGATCAAGGACCGCGTCGAGGAGATGCTTCAGTACCTCCGCCCTGAGCAGCTTTGGATCAACCCCGACTGTGGTCTGAAGACCCGTCAGTGGCCCGAGACCAAGGCTGCCCTGACCAACATGGTCAACGCTGCCAAGTTCTTCCGTCAGAAGCACGGAAACTAAATTCTTCTTTAATCATTACATTTTTTAATAACCCATGATTGGGGGCGACATTCTCAACCTGTCGTCTCGGGGAAGCGGACTCTAGCAGATCCCTTTCCAAAGTCTTTTTTGATGAGTTTACGATGATGATACCAAAAGTTCAACATATGGGTTAGGGTTTCATTAGATGGGGTCACCGGAGTTTTCAACATATGATAACGATTTCAACATCGGCGTTCGCATAAAACATCGACGCCAAGTTTTCTCTTGCATTTTGCGAGTTTTGGGGGCGGAATGCGGGAACGTCGGTGACGTCTGCAACGCCGAGATCAATAATATTTCAACAATGATTGTGTATATCACAAAAAAGGGTCGCTACTTTACTGCCCTTAATGAATATGACAAATGCTCGAATGGTCACATTTGAGCTTGACATTTCTTTATCCATGATTGTTCTAACCGTAGAGTAGCTGATGTAGTTGATTGTAGCTCCAGCATGAAATTGCTTATGATCTATGTAAAAGATGGATTCCTTTAGATATTACTCATTTAGGAGATAAGTATGGTATTTTACACAACCATAAGCTATCATATATAGTACATCCTTCACTCAACTATACACAACCCATTACTTTTACCAGCACCATTACCCAAATACAACCCAATCCATACCAATTCACCCAACCCCATCCCTCTCTCCATATACAAAAGAATAAGTAATAATTACAACCAACTGAAAAAAGGCACCACCGCCCCCCGTCCCTTAACCCTCCCCTCCCCAAACTTCTCAACATACCACTTCCTCCCCCACCTCGCATGCGGCAACATATTCGACACCGCATTAACCAGAAACACCACCGCAGGCAACGGCATCGGCACGCCCATCCAGTCAGCTAACCTCGCAACAGGAACGAGCCACGGCGCCAGCTGGAAGGAACCATCCCCAGCAGCACCAGCACCAGCACCAACTTTAACTGAAGTTGTGGTGGTGACAATCCCAGCAGCTAAGATCGCAAACCCAAGCCACTCAATCCACTCCGCTACGTAATGCGGATAGAGAATGGATGTGAAGAGGCCGGTCGGGGGCGGGATGGTGTATATTTTGGAGTAGATATTTCTTCCTCCTTTTTCCTTGCCTCCGGCCTTGGTAGCATCTTTGGTAGATGATGAAGAGGTAGAAGGAGGGGAAGGAGATGGCTTCTTCCGATGCGCCTCCTCCCTCCGTAGCCTGAACAATGTCCGCTCGGCAGAGATATTCCCTGCCATTCCTCCTAGGAAGAGGGTGAGGCCTAGTGGAGCGAGGAGTGCTCTTCCTATACTTCCACTAGTACCACTTCCACTACCACCAGAAGCATAAGAAGAATAAGAAGAAGAGGTAGGGGTTGAATACGGAACAGGATACCCAGCCAACCACCCGGCCAAACAAACAGCATTGAACCAATTAAATGCCACAGCGGAGGAGGCAATAATCACATGAATAGGGGAGATGCTGGGCGCCGCGAAGAACGGGGAGATGATGGCGCGGTTGGTGTAGTGGAGGGTGAAGAGGAAAGCGAGAAATTTGTTACCTGTGGGGAGTGTAGACAGTGATGGGGAGAGGGTTAGGTCAGGGTAGTGTTTGGGTAGAGTGTAGAGTAGGTAGAGGAGGGTCATGGGGGATACTATCTCCATGATGCACCAGGCCCAGCGGCCGGGGAGGTTTAGGGGGGAGGATTTTAGAGAGGTTTTGCCCGCTGGGTGGTAGGAGGTTAGCCATTGGAGGAGGGATACCTGGATTTTTTTTGGGTTAGTATTTGGGTGAGGGTGATGGGGTTTTGGGGGCGGTGATTTATAGGTGTAGGTGGGTGTGGACGTACGAGTGGGAAGTATTGGAAGATGTTGAGGAAATGAGTGTAGATTTCTGGGGTTGGGTGGATGAGGTGCTCCCAGGGGGGAAGGTGGTTGAGGATGGAGAGGGCGGAGCCCATTGTTGTTGTTGTTGGTATTGTGGTGTTGCTGTTGCAGATTATGGCAATGGCAGGTGAAGTAGTGGGAAGAGGATAGAAATGGAGGAATTAAGTAATGTTACATCAATGGACGAGGTGACGATGAAGATCAAGAGTTGGCGGATGAGTCAGCATCTACAAGGATCCAAGGCATGAAGTTAACTATTCATAAGTTAAGGTTACTGCTCATAAAGTTACTACGAGATAATGATATCGTCATTGCATCCTGGCATTACCTCCCTATGCAAGTCTAACCCAAACTCGCCGAAAGAAGACCATCCCAACTATAACATGCGGATCCAAAATCAGACAGAACCACTCTCGTCGCTCACTTTTGCATTCCATCAGTTCGTCGTATCCATCGGCTCCAACACGCGCCTCCGCTCAGCCAGTCTCTCGGACTTGAATGACTCAATCTTGGCCTTAAGTTCGGTATCTATGCAACAGTTAGTACTCATCCTTTCACCACCAATCCACACTATAAGACCTACCGGGTATTACGTCTTCCATCTTTAGCGGTGCCCGGTTGAACGGATCATGAGGATCGCTGAGCAGATGCGACCGGATCGTTGCTCGGTCGATAGACACCCGGGATCCTGGTAGAATGACCGGGTCTTCCATCAATGTGTACATCAGGGGATCTTGTTCATGTTAGTAACTTCTTCCTCCAGTGCTGAATGATATCACATACCTAAGAAATCATCCGGCACCTCGCCCAGATCCTCCTCAGCCTGGTCATCGGCCTCCTTGGCCGCCTTCACCTTCTTTTGTAATTGCTCCCACCGCTTGAACTCCTCTGGCGACTTGAGCGACCATTTCCGTAGGATGTCTGCTGCCTTCTCAAAGTTCGCCGGCTTGTATGACCGTCCATCGCGTGCCACCGCGATGATGAAGTTCTCCTTGCCCATCAGGTTCAAATACACGTCCACAATCTCGCTCAACAGTGCCCTCGGGTTGAACCCGTACTCCTGCAGATTGTCCACCCGTAGACTGGCACTCTTGGGTCCTACCATCGCATCCAAGTTGTAGTCCAGCATGTCTGCCAATCGCTGCACGATCTCAGGCATTGTAAAGGAATCCGCCAGGGCATCGGTAAACAGCTTGAGCATAGCCACCGTCTCGTTGGTCAGCTGCATATACGACTTGGCGTTGCGCTGTGCCGAGGCGAGGTGCTCCTCTTTCTGCTGACGCACTGTCGGGTCCATTGAGGCGCCGTTGAGGCGCAGCTCCGTCTGCGTCTTGTGAATGGTGATGAATGCTCCGAAGGACTCGTCCAGCACGAACGTCACATCGTTTAGCAACAGGTTGACAAAGCGGACGAAAAAGTCCAGGTTCTGCTTGGACTGGTTGTAGAGCTTGTTGCGGTAGAGCGTATTCGGCCAGATGCACTTGATGATCTGGAAGATTTCGAATCGAATGTTAAACTTGTCAAAGAATTGCGTGTGCGTGCCCGTGTGCTCTGCCTCAATGTAGAATTTCATCATCGAGTGGAGGAGGTACTCGTTGGCAAACGGCATCGAGTTGAGCAGATCCACCAGGACTCCGCGAGCGCCACCAGGGCGTGGCCACGTGCCTCGGAACAGAATAGACACAAGTCCTGCCTTCAGGTACGGGTTCTTGATATAGCCCGAGCTCTCCAAGAAGGTGATGCACAGCATGACCAGCTCGTCTCCTTGCGTGGCAGTGATGATCTGTGGCATGCACCACATGATGAACTTGAAGTTGCTGACGATGTCGTCCAGGAAATACTCTGGAAGGCATTTGAAAACCTCCGGCTGCTGCACCGGAAGAGGGAGCTTGATCTCCTCCTTGGGAAAGTTCGTGCCCGAGACAACTCTCAGCAGCCACACGATCACGTACCGCATGAACAGCATCGACCGGGCTTGCCACTGGTCGTCAAACAAGACACCCTGTAGACTATACTTCAAGGCTAGGCCGAGGTCCAGCTTATCCTTGTACTTCTTCAGAGCCTCCTCGAAGACCCGAAGCTGCATCGGGTTGTTGACCCACCGGTGCCGTTCCAGCTCAAACTTATTGATGGTGGACTCCATGTGTCGGAGGTCCTTCTCAAGCTGCTCCAGCTTGGAGGTTAAGGACTCACTGCCATAGTGATGCGCAGCGACGGTGAGGAAGAAGATCTCAGTGATAAAGTTGGAAGTGCCCTCTGCCTTTTTGGAGTAAAAGGCATCCGACGCATGCTGATCGGCATTGATCTTGGTTTCATCTCTCATATCAACGCGGGGATTACGATGCAGGTAATTGGCATCGACTCGGTCAATCTAGAGCATGGCCGTTAGCTGCAAGCACTCCTCCTGCCGACCTGACGCAACGTGCTTACCTTGGTGAAGCTTGCATCCATGAACGGTTCGCAAAGTTGGTCCAAGCAGGTAGTCAGGTTGAACATGAACCCGTCGGATGACACCGTGTTGGGGTCCACCTGCATTGCACGTCGCTTGTGGTTGATGTTCAGGGAGGCCGCGAACCAGTCTAGAACCCTGTCCCTGGCATCTTTCGACGCCCGAATCATATGGTTCATGACATCGAGGAGATCGGAGCTGATCATGTGCTGCATCATGCGGATCGACCGCTGCGCGTTCAGAATGTAGGACTGATCTCTCGTCTTAGGGCTGGAGAAGTAAGTCATGGTCACACTGCTCTGCAGCGGCGACAAGCGAAACCATGGCCCCAAGAGAGTGCTCTTCTCAAACAGAGCCGGATCCCGGGATGTGTTAAACATATCCGACTCAGTAATGGCAGCTGCGATGACCGCATGGCGGACGAGGTTTCGAAGAGCCTATAAATCAGGTTGACGAGAGCTCCGTGAGAAAAAGAGAGTGGCCTTCACGTACTGTCATATATGGCTTGTAGTCATCATTGATGGTCATAGCAGCAAGCTCCTGGCTCATCTCCTCCACGGCCGTGATGAAAGCCGGCTTGAGGCTCTCATCCTCGTCGAACCTCTTGACAGCCTCGCCAATGAACTCAAAGTCCACGCCCTTGTCGTCCTCAGGATCCAAGAGGAGATATGGCTTTAGCGGCGACTTCTCCGCCGGCTCGAGCCTGTTTAATGACGAGTCAGCCGAATCCTGGATCCAAGAGGTATCACTTCACCGCAACAACGCACCCAAACATCTCCGGCATCGTAATGGCAAATATACAATAACTCAGGCATATGCGGCGCGCCTCGCAGATAGCACTGAATTTCGGATCATCATCGCGATTGCGGCGGAAGCCCTTGTGCAACCTAGAAATCCGCCTCCAGCACGGTAGTAGATAATCCAAGGGCTTCTGACGCGGAGCATTGGAGGCCGCTTCCAGAAGGGCCTGATCCAGGACCGTCACATCCACGCGAACCTCCCGGCCTTGATCCTCAAGCTCACTCTTCAGACCCGGCAAATACGTCAACCGTTGTCCGTGAATATCCTTCTGCCGAGCCTCATTCAGCGACAGCTTGAAGACGGCGCTCAACGTCCGATCCTGAAATGCCTCGATACTCTCTTCCGCTTTGGGGGGTGGTGGTGTGCCGGACACCGGCGTTACGGTCTGTGAGCGGTCCGGGACCGAGCTGGCAGAGGCTGCAGGTGTGATCTTGATCCGCTTCCATTCGGACTGTTGGGGCTGGAGTTGTGGTGAGGGGGCTGATGAACCGGGCGCGCTGCCCGGTCTCGACGAGGATTGTGTCTGGATCCTGTCCGGGTATCGTGAGGTTGGTGTAGACGGGGCAGGGGAGGCAGGCCTGCTTGATGCTGAATCTGCGGCGCCTTCATTCTGCGCCGATGGTGTTGGGTTGCCCAACTTGGCCAAGCGCTTGCTGCGGATCTGATTATGAGGGCAAGTCAGAACGGCAAATGCCTGGATGGCAGGATTCGAAAGAACACGGGCCGGGACCGGGAGAGAGATGGCAACAACTCACCTTATCCGCTTCAGACTGGCTCTCTGACATCGTGGATGATGCTTATGGGGCAAGCCCGAAGCAGAAGGGCTTCCGTAGTATCAGCGGGGCTCGACAACGGAGCGAGTTGATGGCTGGAACCGAAAACTCAGACGGAGGAGAGATGGAGAGAACGGGGGGAAAGAGTTAATTAAGGCAATCCAGGCTGGATTAGAAGCGGGGAGAAAAAGAGTGTAGTGGGTGCCCGGAATGAATGAGCCCGATAAGTGACCCCCAGAGCGAAACAGTGAGGAGAAAAGAGGTCAGTCACTGGCGCTGACTCTGTTCCTGGACTGCTTCTCTCATGGTCGCTGAGGTTCGCCCGCATGAAGTATTAACTAAGCTGGTTGGCGTTGGTTCGCCCGCTCAGGGCCCTTTCTTTTGCATCGTGTGTTCTTTTCTCCACTTTTCACGGTTATTTCTCCAACACTGGGAGATAACCGACTACTTACTATCTACTTTACTACTTATCTTGCCGATCGCTGCTGCTCACTCTCCATCTATTATTCCCTTCTTTAACAACATATACATTTGCTTTGCTTCTCAAGGCTACTACTAGACGAAGCTACTTCCAAGCTCAGGTCATCACTCCGTGAAACGCCATCAAAATCCTTGCACACGTATGGACATCTAATGCGAGAACAAAAGCGGCGGGGGGTCATCAAGAACAAAATGTAACAGGCCATTAAGGTATAAAAGAAACAATAGGAGGATGCAAAATTGGCACCCCGCATGCCATAGAGATAGAGACAAGTCCGCGCTCTCTTTCAGTACCTCCCCTTCAGGGAGTCTAGCCGCCGGCAACTCTTGAGCTCCATCGCTCTCGCTTCTTTGATCTTGTCTACGTCTGGGAAGAACCAGCCCTGGGCATCCTGGAGCATGCGATCACGCCTGTGTTGTTCGGCTTCGCATTCGTACCGTAGTTTCGTAACGTAGTCCACTTCCACCCGTTGGTCCAGTTGCCGGAATTTCCGCGAGCTGTAGTCTTCCACATCCCCGGGGTTCACATAATAGTCCACATTCAACTTAGGTGTCGTGCGATGCATCGTGTGGGGAGGCACAGCAGCGTCAAAACGGTACGAAGGACCTGCAGGAGTTGACGGCCCGGAGAATTTGGACGAGATCCACGGAAGCACGAAGAGGAGAATGAGAGGGAGAAGCTGCTGGAAGGTAGCCCACAAAGAGGGCGTAGGTTCGGTACGAGCATTGGCCTCACGGGGTCTTCTCCGGGGGCGACCGCCTCCAAACTGATGAACCCGGATACCAGGACCGCCGCCCATGTTGAAAACAAACTGAGGTCCACCTATACACACTGATTAGCCATGCTCCTCAAATTAATAAGAAGCAATCATACCAAAAGGACTGAAGCCACCACCCATATTGCCAAACCCACCGCTAAAGAACCGCTGGAACAGCTCTTCCGGCGAGATCTCCTCCTCGAACATCGGACCCCCAGCCCCCGCAGACCGGGGGAATCCACCGCCACCAAAACCGCTGAAAGGCGAAGCGCCCGAGGGACCAGCACTCGGGGTGAACCTGCTGTCCGGATCGCCTCCAAACCTATCATACTTGGCTTTCTTCTCGGGGTCCGACAAGACCTGAAAGGCGCGCGAAACCACTGCAAACCAAAACTACCATTAGCAAGGTGATTCCCCACACAAGCATCCGAGGAATATCCAAATCACTACTCACACTTGAACGCCTCATCCGCTCCCTCATACCCGTTCTTATCAGGGTGTGTCATCAGACTCAGTTTGCGATACGCCTTCTTGATCTCGCCGTCGGAGGCGCTCTTCTCCAACGACAGGATCTCGTAGTACGCCGTCGCCGAACATTTCCGTATCCTCAGGACCGCCGCCTTCTGCTCTGGTGTGTATTTCCGATCCTGGTTCCCCTGGTTGTGCTCGCGGGATTTGGCAGAGCCTCCATTGTCTACCCCGGACGCGGTGGCGGACGGCATGGCGGCAGAGCTTTTATTTCCCTTTTATCGATGAAACGAGTCCCCTCTGCGTGTAGCCAGCCGGCTGTAGAATATCCCACTCTTCGGATACAAATCCCGGTTTGCGAGGGGTTGAAAGCCTAAACAGGCTCGTCGGAAGAGGGAAGGGTGGATCAGCGATGAACCAGCCGACGGACGCAAAGAGAATCGCTGATTAGAGAGGGGAGTGCCCTGGGTTTCGCGATCGACTCGAGTGATATCAGCGACCGGGAAAAGGAGACCAAGTGTTTAAAGGATTGGTTGGTTCTGGGCTGCAGCGGGCCAACCCTCGATCTGGGGAATAATAGATAGTATGGGGTGAATTTGATAAAACGTGGTGAGTTTCTGGAGGATCAGATGTTGACGCTAAGCCGAGTGAGTGAGAGTGAGCCGTTGGTTCGAGGTTTAGTCAGTCACTCAGTCACTTTGGAAAGGTACGTCGGAGCTGCCAGGCACCTTTCCCGCGTCACTAGCTACTTCGGATTGTCTGCTTGACTGCCCAGCATACATACAAGGTTAGTTACTATTTCTGCAATTGTATATCCATTCTATTTTAGTTTTTTCAATTGCTGCAATTTATCATTCATCTTCAAGTCGCTCACCACCATCTTCATTGACAGCAGAAATCTCATAGAATACCACACCCATCGCAACCATGTCCGGTTCGAAATCCCCGATTGAAGAGACCGAAAAGTCTCTCGTGCAGAAAGCCAGAGCATGGGGAGGTAAGCATATATGTCTATCTAAATCTAAATCAACATCCCATCTCCAACAATGTCACTAATCACTCATCCATCGACGCACAGAGAACTCATTCCCACCCACCCTGCTCGCCACTCTCATCACCGCACAATACATGCGACCATTCCAGGCCCTTCCTATGCTTTTCCCTCCCGTCCTTATATTCACCAGCTATGCCAACATCCAAGGCTTCAAAACCGATACAGCCGGTATCAGCGCGGCGTGGTCCGGGCTGTACCTGTTGCTCGCGGGTCGCCGGAAGCAGCCGTTTATGAAGAAATGGGGCGCGAGGGGAATTGTCCGCGGTGCGACAATGGGTCTGTGCTTGGTTAATATGGTTAGCGGTGGGTTGGCGTACACTCTGGGCAAGCGGGAGGAGGAAGAGGAATAGACGGGGGATATATAAAAGTTTTGGTTTGATTCGGTGAGACATCTTATGTGATGGTGCGGGATAGTGCTGTTTGTATGCGGGGTCATGTATGATATAAGTTGAACGGGGAAACAGGCGTCGCTTCGGGTATGGTGTTTTGGTTTTTCTTTCGATTGTTCAATTCAATCAAGTGATGATGACATTAGTCGAGACTTAATTCATTGATGAGTGTGTCCTTCTACATGAGTGATCTATATGTATGTTATATATATCTAGTAGGCCTTGGGCGAGTGGCTTCCGACCTGCTCTGCGCATCGCACAATATGCGACGTATTTCCGTCAACGATAGCTCTTGAAGTACTTTTGTACTGCAATCACTCCGTGTATGGATTTTCTGCCAAGATGACATCCCGGACACTGGGAGGAACCAGCCACTTCAGGTCCTGGGGATTGGCTACAGCAGATTCTCGGGCTCTTGTCGAGCTCACGGAGGGCGCACCAGGCTTCTTGCCCTCGACAAGCTTGATGCGATCAGCCCATTCTCGTTTCCCGCCCACCCTCTCCATGGCACCCTGCGCCAAGTCGGCCACAAACGCTTCCTGCTCCTCTCTACTGCCCCAGTCACTATCCGGGCGCATGGTCACTCGCAGCCGATGCTGGGAAAGAAACGGTCCCAACGGCTGGAGAGTATGCTCTGGTGGGTAGTATTTCGGGTTGAAAATGCGGATCAACGTATCGTACCCCGTCAGATGTACCTGCTCCAGTGACGAGGAGTATATACCCGCGCGTTCAATCTCCGCGGCTTTGTCCACAAAGTATGGTTTCTTGGTGACTCCAATGTCGATCACGGGAAGATTTTGGGCCTTGGGAATAGTCCCGTTTGTTTGTAATGACGAGAGAAGGTCTCGAGCGAAGAGCTCCATCATGGCCAGACGGGTCTCGAACGCCGCCGGCTTGGAGGGCTTGTCGGCATTCTGTGTCGCGAGGAGCAATAAGAGACGGGAGGGCTTGTGGGGATTTTCTAGAAGAGCGGAGGTCGCAATTCGGCTGTGGGCAAGGGTTGGCGGGTTGAAGGACGAATCGAGGACGTACAGAACGTCAGTGGATGAGGTGGGATCATGGCGCTCGGAGGGGACAGAGGCCAGAACCTCCAGACTGCGGGTTGATGCAATGAAGAGTCTGAGGCCCGCAGCGTACTTCTCGCGTAGGGCATGAAAGGCGGGGCTCGTCATGCTGGGATTAGATGAGTCAATCTGGCGTGGTCAGTGTGACAACTCATAGAGTAGAGTATGTATGTATGTATGGTAACATCAAGAACGATGATGATGATGATGATGATAATGTCAATGATGCCCAAGGCTGGTCACGTCAGAGGCCGACAGAAGAGGTGGGGTTGTGGACGGGAAGCATCCATGGACGTTGTTGGATGAGGACCCTTTGGTGCGGGTGGCTGCAGGACCCGGACTTTGCTGGGTATACCGCCAAATACAGTAGACAGATACTATGTAGTATCTAGAGTAGGTATGTATGTAGTATGTACGGCTTGTTAGCGACGCTTCAAGACCCTAAACCCACACGGCAGAGCAACACGAGCCGATATTAAGGCTTTATCTCATTGCCCATATGTACTGAGAGGTGGATGGCGGTCTGTGAGCTATCCTCGATGGGATCGTAACACTTAGATTAAAGCCGCGATGATCACAATCAGGGACTCGGTGCTCCGTAGGCTGGATGTAGTAGTCTAGACGGACCCGGTAAGCCGGAATGTTCTGGAGTCTGGATGTCTAGATTAGGGTCAATGGTTGTGTGTTCCTTGTGTTCTCGCTAAATGCCGCTTATTCCGGAGTGTTGGTTAATGGTTTATTGCCGGCCGCGCTCAGTGGAGTCTCCAGTGACTTGGCCAAGTACTCATCAGGGGTAGATAGATACTCCCTACTTATGCCCAGGATGTGATTGTGACATTCCAAGTATCAACAGAAGAAATAGAGTCTAGCTTACGAATGAGTGGGAGCTCATACGGAGTTAACTACTGAAATGGTGTGACTGGCCAGGACTGGAGCTCTCCGAGCTTTGAGGGCTAGCCGATAAGAACCGAAGACGATCATCTCCTAGTCGATGGCGCACAGTGAAAGCGTGTTCACGGTTCAGGCAACCATATACTTTGGCACTCATCAGCTTGAAACGCTGGCGGCCGTGGTTTCCCCAGCTCCGGTCAGGGTCAAGAACCAAGAACAACCTCAGAGCTTTGCTTTCATCTGTTATCACCACCAGTGCCAATATCCCGCACCACACAATATAATTTATATCCCGGCCTTCTTTGTGCTTGGATCACTGCCAGTAATCAACCGATATGATCAGTCTTTGTTCTGGGAGAAAATCGCCGGTGTCTAGACCCCCCATGCTGGCTCCACTTGGTCTGCACCTACCACCCACGCCTCGTAGGCCCAAGACCATCGCCGCGCAGATTTTCTTGATCAACCCTGTCAAACGATACTGGCGTGCCCACCGACGGAAATGATATCGGGATTGTCGATATACTGAGCCTCCTTGGGGACTTCTTCCTCTCCCTCTTCTCCATAGTTCGTGTTGAGAAAGGACTCGGCTCAGACATGAGTCCCTTCGGTTACAAAGCGTCTCACGCCATCAGCACGAGAAGACTTAGCTCGGAGTCAAAGCCACTAGGCTGTATCATTTTAGCCCCTTTGATGAAGCATCGTTGACTGAACCACTGTAAGAAGCTTGGGGGTGTTGGCAATGAGCTCGCTCACTGTATGATGGAATGAGGATAGAGCTTGGATCCTTCTCGACTCATCATGCCCCTTTTTCTTACTTTTCTTCTCCAGGTCTCCAGCATGCTGTGTAGAGTGTATACGTTGCCCAGTTGCGTGAATGGAGGATGTCATCTCCGCACGGTCAACTAGTGAAGGTGATAGTAAACAAATCCACAGCGGATTGTTGATTAAAGCGTGTCCACCAGTAAATTACGGTAATAACAATTCCGCGCCGGCCCATTAATGAGGTTGAGTCAAGCGTGGCGGTTGAACATACGATTGTCGGCGGTTGTTCCATGGATGCTTCGTTTGAGGACCGACGGGAATTACCACATCCGGGCAATGTTGACAACCCACACGATCGACGTTTGTTGTTGTTATTGTTATTGTTGTCTCTTTTATTTCCTGAACCAGAAACAAAAGGGCCCTGAAATGAACCCTGAAGGGGGCGGTTACAGCTTACCGACACATCCTTCTCAGACAACCTGTACGATCCTGATGCACGCTGGCTGTTGGTCTGGCAGCGACAGCACAGCGAAGGACTAGTACTATCCGTATTAGGCAAAACGAGGGGGAGTAAAGAAAAAAGTCGAACAAGACGGAAGCCGTGCGGTTGGCCCGTTTGGACAGGCACAATGAGATTAAGCTGGCAGCCAAGCACCAATGAGAAGAGGCGGTGAGGGGATGAAACGGGGCTTCATCTCCAGTCCAGCTAATCCGCGTGTGGTTCCTGCGCCGGAGACCCACTCGGGACTGAGGAAATTAAAATTAAGATCAATATCAGGAGGAGGGCAGTGCGTGTTGATTGGCTGAAGGGTTATCAACAACTGGGCACAGCTGCACGCCCGACACCACCTCGTTCGGCCAAGATGAGACATTAGCGCCGTATGGGCGAATCTTCCAAGACTCGCCCACCAACGGGCATCTCGCATCTGTTCCATACGACGTTGGAGAAAATACGGTGCCTGGTAATATCGCGTATCGACGGGCTGCAGGGATCCCGAATTGAATGGATTTAATCAAATTTCGATATTACGGCGTTCTCCTTTAGGTTTCCCTTTTTCTGACTTTCTTTCTTTTCCCCCCGGGTCTTTTTTTCCTTTAAACTCCTTCACTTTCTTCCCAGGCCTCCAAAAAGTCTCTCGTCAGACTGCTACATTCTCTCTCCTGTTCAACCTCTCTCTGTGAGAACGTTGCGACCTTCCTTCTTGCGTCCAGTCACTCTTTCAACCTTGCTTTGATTTACTTGCGAATAGATTTCGCATCTCACTTTCGTTGAGAAAACCACCCCCGCAGTCTCTACCAAATAACCCAAGAACGGAATATCTTTCCCATCCACTCTGACTTCTTCGAACATCCACCATCAATCCTTCAAGATGCAGCTTACTTCCAAGGTTTCCATCGCCCTGCTGGGTGCTTTCGCCGCCGTCGGTGAGGCCAACAACCACGGCTTCCATGCGCGCCAGATGAACTTCCACCCTGGTGGCTACAACAACCAGACTGTGTCGACCTCCGTCGTCCCCGTCTACCCGACTCCCGAGCACTCCAGCGCTCCCGTTGCTCCCAGCGCTCCCGCCAGCTCCCCCGCCGGAGTCGCTGCTAGCTCCCCCATCATCGGTGGTCACTACGCCAGCAGCTCCAGCTCTGCTGCTGTTGTTGGTGCTTCCTCTGTCGCTCCTGTGCCCGTTCCCCTCGGCACTGGTGTCTCCAGCAGCGCCCCCGTCTCCGCCCCGGCTGCTGCTGCTACTGGTAGTAACGGTGTCTCGACTGAGTACGACACTGTCACTTCCACCAAGGATGTCACTCTCACCTACACCCTGGGTTCTGGTTCCACCCAGAGCGTCGTCACCACCACTATCCACCGCACCGTGACTGAAGTCGAGACCATCTACGTGGTATGTTATGGAAGCCCGTTCTGGAAGCATGAAGAAGGATGTATACTAACGGATATACCATAGACCCCCTCTGCCAGTGCATCCTCCACTGCCCAGGACACCACCGTCACCTCTGACACTACCGTCTACTCGACCTCCACCGACTACGAGACCTACACTCTCTACGCGGTCCCTACTTCTTCCGCTGCCGCTGGTAGCTCCGCCCCCGCGGGCTCTGCTGCCGCTGGCGAGACCTGTGCTCCGGTCACTGTCACTGTCCACGACACCGTCACTGTGGTATGTACCCACTTTGAAACCAAGCTGTCGGTTTGAACCCCTTACTGATGCATTGCAGACCGCCACTCCCACTCCCATCTCCACCCCCGACAGCGTTGCCAAGATCGAGGTCAGCTCTGTGTCCACCAGCGAGGAGGTTGAGACCACCACCCAGGCCGAGGCCACCACCCACAGCAAGCCCACCGTTGTCCCCACCCCCAGCGCCCCTTACGGCCACGGCAACGGCACCTTCCCTTTCCCCAGCGGCGCTGCCCGGCCCACTGGCTTCCAGACCAGCAGCAAGGTTGCTTTCCCCTCTCACTTCCGCCGCGTCTACTAAAGCCATGATTGAATTGAATTTGACTGCTTCGGGTCACGAGCTTGACGCCACGCCTGTACTGAGATTCCCAATCGTGGCGTAAGAAAGCACACGCTGGCACTGTACCTACGAGAGGATTTACTGTTTTGCTTCTGGTACAAACTTACTCAATTTTTTTGACTTTGGATTGGCCGTCTTCGTCCATCTTCAACCTAGACTTTACTTCTCTTCCCCAATTTCCTCCTCCCCAGGGATGGGTAATTGGCTTTTCTTCTTTTCTTCTGGGATCTGTCGATTCCACCGCTTAACGAACAAAGCTCTTTTTTCTTTCAATTTCTCTTCCTTCCACGAAACCTTCTCGTGAACCTCTCGGACATGAATCTCGGGATGTCAGGCGATGCGACATCAGGCGAGTTGACCCAGCAGGTGGCGAAGGCGTCTTAGCGGGTACATCGGCTCTCTGTACATTTTGTTTTGTGTGTGTTTGCAGTAGATATTTCTTTCAAGATGATGACCTTGATTACGAAGCGATTTTGTTAGTCGAGCGAATGACATTCGTCTATTGCCACCTACTCGTTGTAGAAGTAGATACCTCCACATCTAAACTGAACATGATGGGTATGATATTAATCATAAGTTAATCCCCCCATCTCTAACAATCTTCTCCCTCATCCTCTGCCACTCCAACCAAGTAACCCCCTGTACCAGACAATCCGCCAAATCATCCAACTTGCCAATATCCATACTATCCTCCCCATCTTCCCCATCTGCCTTCTTTATCCGTCGTTTCCCTTCACACTTCTCCAGGAACGAATTCGCCAACTTCCTCACCTCATCATCACCTATCACCACCCTCCTACACCCATACCCATTCCCAACAACGGAATAAGAATCAGAAGACGATAACCACCCCCTCACCAACCCAATCTTCATCTTCTTCACATCCCTCACATTCTTTCTCCTCTTCGTCTTCTTCACCACCTCCCCATCCC